GATAGCTCATAAATTATTATTGAATTGAATATTTCATTCATTCCATGCCATTGTACTTATAAAGCCAATTATGAGAAATGTGCCCAAACAAAATGAAAACCAGTCATATTTTTTGAAAAGGATATAGACCGTTGTTGCTATTGGTGAATAAACCAGAAACCAGAAATTCACCAATTTTTTTTCGTCGAAAAATAAAAATATCACACACCACCCCTTGAATGAATTTCAAATATGAGAGAGAAAAAAAAATCATTTTAATAAAAATTTTTCTGTCCATAACTTTTTTTTGTTTGCTATATTAACATTTGTTTAACTTTTTTTTCCATACGGTTATATACAATGAAAAGAAAAGAAAGCTTTTTGTGTACGGGACAACGTAATGTTTCGGTTCAGTTTATTTACGTTATGTATCGGATGTTGATGGTGAGCTGAATGTTTTCACTGATTAAAATGGCCTGGTTTTTATTTCCTTTTTTCTATTACCATATAGCCACTGTTTGGTTGTTTATGAAAAATGAATTCATCATTCAAAAGTTACCCAATTCATATATGTTAAAAGTTATTCATTCTGTCTTTTTGTTTATAGTTATTCATGATTTTGATTTTAAAGTTTCTGAATTCATATGAATAAAACTTTAACTTTTAAATTTAAAAAGTTCATAACACGAAATTCTATGGACATGATAAATGCAATGATGAAAAAGAAACCACAATGAAATTTCCATTTGATTCATTTATTCAAGTTATTCATTTGATTGTCTTGGAATAAATTCATTCATATGTCATTCACAAAATACAAAAGAATTCACTTAATGGGCTCACTGTATTTTCAACATTTCATTCATTAAGTCTACCAATGGAATTGAAAGAATTGAATTTGGGGTGTTTTTTTTGCTTGAAATTCTTAAGAACTTTTCATTATGTCTCATTCGATTTGTGTAGCTCATTTTGGCTGCCTGAAATATATAAATCCCTAGCTGAATGATTAGTTGGTTGTCGATATATTTCCAACATAGAATTTCATATATAAAAGCTATTTCAAATGAGTTATTTTAAGTCATTCTTTTCATTTTTCTTTTTCGTTTTACTATAGACAATGGCAATGTGTGTCTTATATATAGAAAGAAATATAGATCGAGAAAGCAATGGATAATGATAAATTGAACGGAAAAAAAAGCTAGCAAGCTTTCTAATCGAAAAACGAAACGATTCCGTAATAGCATTTCGAAGCAAAAAAAAAAATTAATAATTATGCTCTTGTTTTTGGCAATTACAAGTACTTTTAATCATCAGAATTTTTTTTCATCCAATAATTTTGATTCTTGATTCTCGACCAGAATCAGAATTTATAATTTGAAATAAATAACAGTCATTGGATGATGCAAAAATCTGAAAAAAATAGTTTAAAAACCCAATGGATCATAATTACTTTCCACACACACACACACACACATACACATTATTCGATCAATTGATGCGGCAAAAATCTTTATCATCATAATCATCATCATCATCATCATTCCTAATTCGTAAACAACATCATTATTTTAACATCAGAAAATAATATATATAACAAACACATACATACACACACATACATGCACAAAGAACGGGTATCAGAAGTACAGAAAGAGAGTGAAACAAAAAACGAACAAAACTCCTATATCCAATATAGATCGTGTCAAACCAACAGCACTAACTGAATGAATGAATAACTACAATATGGCGCCAAAATGGAACAATGAATTAGATTGAATTGAATGATGATGATGATGATGGCTTTTCACATGAGTAGCAACTCATAAAAAGCAGTTAGAAAGTGAAAAATACAGAATTATTGAATATAATATAGGCTAGAAACAATGAATTTGAATTGGTCTTTTTTTTCTGTGGCCAAAGTATAAAGAATCGAAGAAGAATCTGGCTGGCTAGCTAGATGGATAGATGGATCACCACTACCGACCACCACTTCGTTTTGTGTTTGAGTTTTATTCTATTTCAAGGAATTTTCTTTCATTTGTAGAAGTTTGAATGGGATTCGATTCCAAAAAAAATATATAAAAAGTTCCATCACTGTATAGGAATATTCTTGATGCTTGTTTCTGGTTGTTGTTGTTGTTGTTGTTTAAAGTGTATTTGTGAGTAGTTTTCTGGCTTTTGCTGCTTCTGCTGCTGCTTGTTGTTGGATCGTCATTGCTATCGTCATCATCATCATCATCATCGTTGTCGTCGTCTATGGCGTCATTGTTTGTTTGTTCGATTTCTACATCGTCAGAATAGCAGAAGTTTTAGCAATGATCATTGATGCTCAGTCGTCGTTGTTGAATGGAAGAATCGCGGTATCGTGTGCAGTGGTATGTTTGATTTGATTTCAGGTTTTTTCATCTTGAACCGAAAAAATTCCATCTATCCATAATCGCTTTGTTCCCACATCAAAAAAGTGGTAATCGATTTCCGTTCTCCATCGTCCAACAACAATTACGGATTTTTTTTTGTCAGAAATTTTTTTTTTCAATTTTGCAATTCAATTTCATGTGTGTGTGTGTCATGTGATTTTTTTCTTTGCAATTTTAAATTCTATAAAAAAAACATGCATAAACGATAAATGATGATTCTCAAATTCCAATCACATTCATATTTTGTGAAAAACAAAACTTTCAATTGTGATTTCGATAAAAAAAAGCTGTCGTAATATTCAATGGAAATTCAAATAATTCCGATGAAACAACAGCATTTGAAGTGTAGAAGAAAAAAAAATTTCTGCCGTGTGTGTGTGTGTGTGTGTGAAACTTTTGGTTTGAAGCTATTTTTCACTTATTCAGTGTAATTGTTTTTCTTTCCGATCAAATGAATTTTACTTTTAATTTATTTTTTTTTTTTTTGATGATGATTTTTTGTTATGAGGCAAAATTCATTCGACGTGATTGTCACATTGATGAAAATAGTGGCAAACAAAATGTTTGTTGTTTGATTTTTGTCAAATTTTTGGTTTTGTTTTTGTTTTTGAAAAACAAAATAAATGTTTTTTTTTCTCGTTTCACAACATCTATCAACGATGAAAAATTTCGTAAACTACTTGTCGCCATTGTAATAATAATAATAATAATGAGGATTAAAATTAAATGACGACCCGTCAATTAAAGTTATTTTACATCGCAAGAAAAAAAAATATATCGTGGATAGAATTTTTGTGGATGGCATTCCATTTTATTTATTATGTATGTATGTGGATGGCATTACTAATTGCTACATAAAAATGATGAACAGAACAGTTGATAAACAAAAGCCATTAACCCGACCAACCTCAATTATCATTCATTGATGAATACAGATATTATATGATGATGTGTTGATGATGATTGTTGTGTAAAACAGAAATCATTAAATCTGACATTAAAATGATCATAATTGCCATGAAAATGACAGTGAAAACACCGGATGGATGTAATATGTATTATGATGATGATGATGATCATTATAATTCTCTTTGAGTTTTTTTTTCAATGAATTGAAATATGATCATCATGATGATCTTTTGAACTTTAATGTCGAATACATATTGAATTATATTTTAGATTGCATTTTCTCAACACTTGTCACATGTTAGATATTGATTATCCGAATCCATTAATCATCAATCTAATAATATTTCCGTTCAGTAGAAACGATCTGGATTCAATATTTTCATTATTTGCAAATCTGTAATTTGATCGTGTAGATGCATTGAAAAATGAAAAGATTCCAAACTTTAACCTAGTGTGGACATTTTTTTTTTATAAACTTTTTCGTTGATATAATAAAAAATGAATTCTGTACGATGGTTCGAGAACCTCAGTTACAACTACAACTGTACAAACAAAAAAAAAACACTACTACCAAATCAAATTAACAAACAATATCAATGAAACAAAAAATGTCCTCGAACGAGAAAGATTCCGTAATCATCATCATGTTTACTGAAGTGAAGAAGACATGAAAACTATCATTGTGTATGTATGTGTGTGTTAATTGGCCAATTATCAATCCTATGTTTGTGTTTGTGTGTGTGTGTGTGTGTTAAAAAGACAGGAAAATCAAGTAAAGAATCAACACCACCCTCACATATATAGATTCTATATTTAGATATCATCATTGTTAATGTTTGTTTGTTTTTGTTGTTATTTCTTTTTCTCACCGGTTTATGATATTGAATACACACACACACACACACACATACAATACAATACAATACCATCATCATCCATTGTTTATTAGCTTGAATCAATTCAATTCGATTCGATTCGAGGATTCCCGTTTTTTTTTCTCTCATTCGGCTATTGAGATAATTCGGTTCATTGTTTTCATAGTCACGATAACGACGATGACAAGATCGAATGAATTCAATTGAATAATAATAACAAAACATTGTGCTGAAATAAGCACAAAATGGATGAAATGTAGTGGAGAAAAAAAACGGAGCCTGGTAAAAAAAACTCTATCAATTCTTGACACACACACACACACAATCACACGAAGAATAGCCAAATTCTTTCTTTTGTCGTCTATGTGTGTTGTGAAATGTAAACATTGTGTAGAATAATGTTTGGAATTCACAAATTCCACACATTTAAAATTTTGTGATTTTCAAATTTTCAAATTTTCAAATTTTTTTTTCTTTATTTTGAAAATATTTTCATATATTATTATTATTATTGTTTTATGATGAAAAAATTTAATTCAATTCATCATTTTCAGTTTATACAGATCGAACCGATTCAAATCTTGTGAATTTTTCCAAACATCATGTTGTGTGTCTCGTTGTGTACATATGGCCGATTGCCAATCATTGGAATTTGTGAATTATTGTTGATGTAAAATTATTCAAAAGTTGATGTGCTGATTTTATTTTGTTTTCTGATTAACTTTTCTGTTTTCATTCACCTGATTTTTGAGTTTGCGCTTCGTGTGTATTTGGTTATTTCCATCATAATCATCAAATGTGATGTGATCAACAACAACAACAACAACAACTAAAACTAAAACTTGAATTAATCAAACTTTTTTTTGTGTTCATCAGAAATGAAAAATGATCGATTCATGAGTGATATACCTTAATGGTCCCTTTTCTTCTATATCTTTGCTGTGTTTGGATCTGATTTTTTTTTCTTTTGTTCTTCATCGTTATCAGAAGAAAATGAAATAGGAGTGAAAACGACAATACAAACATAGCAGCCATCTGAAAGAAGAAGAAGAAGAAGAAAAAATGCCAGCAGCTTGTAGCCTTTTTTTGAAACGAAACTGAGTGTATGTATGAGAAAAAAAAACGCCATGCATACATTTATTGAACTACAGGCAATCTCAATTAGCAGCCCAAAAAACATATGCATATTTGGAACCGAATTGACTGCTGCTGCTGCTGGTACATTGCATATATGAATCAAGGATAATATTAATATCCTATGTGTGTATCCTGTCAAAATTGTTGTTCTTTGCAGAAAAAAAACAACAACAACAACAAACGAAAAACGCTAAGAATTAGTGGTTGAAGGCAACAAAAAAAATTCTCGACAAAACCAAAAGAATTCTTGACGATCGATCGTTTCGCTTTTTTTTTCTTTGTTCTCAACTAACAAATCAATCAGGCCACATTGTATGTATCTTCAAAACGGATCGATATATCACAATCCTCTATTTTTTTTTGATAAGGGCGACGCGGGTTACATATGAGTTATTTTCCTTTCCTCCCCTGTTAACATTCAAACTGGATTGGACCATAATCAGAACGATAAAAAATTTCATGAGAATGACAATCGAATAAGAATAAAAAATTCAACAGAATTGATTCAAGGAAGAAAAAAAAAATTCATTTTTCTCATTTTTATTCCTGGTCATTATCGTTTCATTTGCCATATAATCATTATTTTTATCATCATCATCATCACCATCATCATCATCGCTGGTAATGACTTCCGCCAACACACGCACAGCACATTATTATTATTGCCAAAAATTAATGTCCGATATTTTGTTCAGATAACATTGATTTATTTGTCATAAAATTGCTTTTACCATCTTTTCATTGTCATTGTGATTGATTCGGCACATTTTTAGACATAAACAAGCAACGATAAAATCATTTTGTGTCTTCTCTGTTTGTGCGAGTGATTTGTGTTTGTCAACATCAATTCTGACCATTCTACATTTTCTATGTGTCCATGTCTATTGTTGTCATTTATGGACCGTTGGATGCCAACATTCTATCATCCATAACTACTGCAGAGAAATAAAATAGAAAAAAAAAACTTAAACAAAATGGATTACATACGACAATTTGATATTCGTTTGGAGAAAGAAATGTATTATCCGGGTGAATGCTTGGCCGGACATGTTATATTGAATACAATGGAGAATTTCAAATTAAAAGGTTTGTTTCTTGTTTTCAACAATACATTGTTTAATTACTTGCACATTTTTTCCATTTATTTAATGATTAATTAATTGAGCATAAATCCGTAACATCATCATCAGCGATATATTGATTTAATGTATTCTGATTTTTTTTTCATTTCTCTCATCACAAATAAATGAATAATCAGCCATACGAGTGATATTACGGGGCAAAGCACAAGCAGAATGGAAAGTAATTGTTAGTGGTGATCGTCGAACCGTTAAGGATGATCAGATATTCATTGATGATCGTTGTAGCATATGGGGTAAAGGTAACTATTCATAATTATTCAGTTTGTTTTGTTTATTTTTGTTTAATCGTTGATTGTCGGAATTTTACATCATTCGTATCATTCATTACAGACGGTGAAACCGGTATACTAACCCGAGGCCAACATTCATTTCCATTTAAATTTCAATTACCGGAAAGTTGTCTACCGTGTAGTTTTGAATCAAAACCATGTCAAATACGTTATTATATAAAGGTAACCATCGATATACCGTATGCATCACCGCCTCAAGGAATGAAATATTTCACAATCATTGGACCACATATCGATTGTATGGATGAACAATATCTGGTAAATGTTGTTGATGATGCTTTCTCTCAACTTTTTTACCATTGTTTTTTATTCTATCCATCAATAGAAACCACTTGTTGGCCGTGATAGACGTTCAATTTGTTGCCTTTGTTGTCGTCATGGTATAGTTAGCCTTAAAGCCTATTTGGAACGTTCCGGTTATTGTTGTGGCGAAAGTATACGTCTTAAAGCTGAAATTGATAATCAAAGCGAAGAAATTGTTCGTCTAAGATTGAAATTAGTTCAGGTTGGTGGAATAAACATGCAAAAAATTTGTTTCCAATTTACGTTGTGAAAAACGGAATCGGTGATTTTTTTTTCTCTGATTACTCTGAATTGATTGATTTCAAACATTTGAATTTTAGCATGTAAATTTTTCCATCGAACGTGGTGTTTTGGGCCTAAGTAAAGAATTAACACATACCGTGCTTGAATATCTGGGTGAAGATGTACAGCCATCGCAAAAATTTCGTTTCGACAGTACCGATAGTCTAGTGGTACCGGTAATGCCACCTACATTGTTGAATATCTGTAAATTATTGCAAATATATTATATCCTAACTGTAAGTTTATTTATCAATTTGAAACGAATAAATTCTAGTTCATCATTCATATTTATTACATGAGGTTTGGATCGAAATGGAAAAATCCAATGATGACTTACATCTTAATTTTCCATTGACCATTGCTACATGTCCGTTTAGGATACCGAATTCAAATAAACAGCCCATCATTGACTACGGTAATGATGAAATGTCATTTTTTAACATGATAATGTCAATGCTATAGTTATTTAATCAAATTAAAATAGATGTATGCTGTGATCATGTTGAAGGTGGCCAATATATTGGACCAGAATTTCAATTAGGTCAAGTATATGATGGATCATTGGGCATGGAAGAAGGTGAAACCATTGTTCTTTATCGTCCTGTTTATGTTTGTGTTCGAAAATCTACTTCTCATCAATCACAATCAACACAGCCGCAACAACAGCAACAGCCGCCCACAATATCAAAAGGAACTAAATCAGAAACGCCTAGTTCGCACATACACCATCATCATCATCATCATCAACAACAACAACAACAACAACATTATGCCCATCAACATCATCATCAACGGAATCAATCAGAATCATCAACGTTGACCAAACAAAGACAGCAATCCATCAATAATGAGCTTACAAAAAATTGTGGTGATCCTGGACCAAGTCGTCATTGTTGATTTTTGATTTTGATGATGATGATGGTGATGATGAAAAGTCAATCAAATCAATAATCCCTCCTGATTGTTGTTGTTTAGATTTCATTTTTCATTTTCATTGTGCAAATAAAATCAGATTCATTTTGTTCATTCATTCATTCATTCATATCACATGTTTATTATAAATCAAATTTAATTAAAATTTTTTTTTATGAAAGAAATATCAATTATAATCGTTTGTATTTCATATTCAATTTATCCAAATATGTTTCAAGTTTTTTCGTTAATCTTTCAAACACTAGTTTCTCATCATTATCCAGGATCTGTTGTAAACGTTTATGATCAAAATTTTTCAAATCTTCAACAATTCCAGCAATAGTATGAAAATCACGATCCATAGAAAAATATTTATCCGTAATAGAAGTAGCATTAGACGATGTTTTGATTGAACGATCTAAACTATCATTAAGGAATGATAACACTGAAATATTAAATGTTACGTCCATTTCTTGGGATTGAATATTCTGTTGTAGCTTTGGAATTATGACATTGAATTCTTGCATTGTTTGAAGCCAATTATTTAATAAAGGCCAATCGGTTAAAGTATCAAGATCATCATCATCCTCATCATCGCCATTATCAATCGGTTTTGGTGGTTGACGACATAATGCTTGAACACGTTTTTTCAAATCTTCATCCATTCTTGTTTTGAAGATTCAATCATAATACAATGTGATTTGGCGCTCGATTCAACGGCTTTTTTTTTATTGAGAAACGTCGTTTATGAATATCTTATGCCGCTTTTGTGAAAAAAATTTTTTTGTTTGAGTGTGTGGCCTATCATAAATGATATTATTATTGAAATTGTCAGCCATTCAAATTTCATCTCAAATCTGATCTTTATCCGATAATTTTCCATTTCCAAAAATGTCGTCAGATCAAAAGGAATATATTGTTCGGGTACCAAGGTAAGTGATCGTTTAAAATATCCAAATATCTATTAATTATAATTTTTCACAAATGCAAAATTTTTAGCGACACAAAAAAACAATTTCATGTGATGCGTTTTAGTTCAGCTTTAAATGTTGATGTAACTAAATTAAAAAATTGTAAACTTGAACGTGAAATCATGTTCAAAGAGATCAAAGAACAACAAGAAGAAGAGCTACCAGAATTCGGTGCTGGCTCGGAATTCGGCCGCAAAGAAAAAGAAGAAGCAAGACGGCGTAAATTTGAGAGACGAAAAAATAAACAGAATAATTCACCATGGATTTTAAAAGTCGGTGGAAAACATGGAAAAAAGTAGCTAATTTATTCCAAGTATTTTCGAAATAAATTCAAACTGATTTATTTATATTTTTTAAAACAGATATCGTGGTATTCGTGAAGGTGGTGTCACCGAAAATGCATCATATTATGTATTTTTCCAAGCTTCAGATGGAATGTTTGAAGCCTTTCCCGTTAATGAATGGTATAATTTTACACCATTTCAACGATATAAAGCTTTATCGGCTGAAGAAGCGGAAGAAAAATTCATTAAACGTGATCAAATATTAAATTTTTTTCAACTTAGAAATATGGCTAAAACAAAAGAAGGGGATAAAGATGATTCAAGTAAAAAATCACAACGTAAAATGAAAAAAGAATTCAAAGTATCCGATATGGATGATTGGTATGATATGTCCGAAAATGATGATGATAATTTCAGTGGCGATGGCAATGATGATAGTGATGATGATACGAAACAGCGAAAATCACGAAAAGATAAGGGCAAGAAAGATAAACGAAAAATCAAGAAAGAAGATTCTGATGAAGAAGAACCATTAGAAGATAGTGATGAAGGGGATTATGATGATAAAGAAGTTGATTATATGTCCGATGAATCTAGCAGCTCCGAATCGGAAGAAGAAAAAGTTGGCCTTAAAGGTGTGGCAGATGAATCGGCATTACGTGATCTTGTCGTCTCTGAAGAAGATGAAGAAGAAGAGGAAGGTGCGAATAAATATGAAAATCAGGAACAGAATGAAGATGCAAATAAATCTATCGATTCGGATAAATTGAAATCGAATAAATTGGAAAAGAAAACGGGTGGCAATGATTCATCATCTGAATCGGATTTTGATTCAGAAAATTCCGATATAGAAGAACCCAAATCGGCTTTATTGATACAGCCAAGCAAGAATCTTAACAAATCATCATCGATATCGACACCAGTTGATGATTCGAAATCAACAGAATTATCTGCAGGAAATAAAAGAAAATTGGAACAAGATTCCAGTAGTAGCCAATCAACATCATCACCCAATAAAGATAATAATTCATCAAATAATAAATCCAATGGTTTGAAATTCAAACATAAACTGGAAAATCCAATGGCCAATGAACATTCAATGGCAAAGAAAATGAAAGTCAAACATGACAGTGGTATTACCGAAGAGGCCGTACGTCGATATCTAATACGAAAACCAATGACCGCCGCCGATTTAGTACAGAAATTTAAGAATAAAACAGCACGTAAAGAAAAATTAACGGATTTATTGGCCGAAATATTACGGAAAATTAATCCGGAGATACAGAATATAAAAGGCAAAATGTATCTATCACTGAAGCCGACATGAAGGCTGTTTTGTTCTTTTTATAATTTATTTTAGTTCGAATTTGTATACTAAATAAATTTATTATCAATTGCTAAGCAATATGCCTTCCTCGATACTTTTTTTCATGAATGACTTATCAGTATTTTTCATTGATTGTTGTCGTTTGGGTGATAATTGCACTAAATCTTCAAATAATTCATCATCTTCATTGCCTAATTCGGTCATATTGAGCTTTTCAAGAGCTCTGAATTCTTCTACCGTGCAATTTGGTGCGTATATCTGTAGAAAATCATTTTCCGTTAACAACAACAAAGTTTTCAGATTAACATTTTTACTTTCGGCCACTTTGAATCCAGTTCTTTGAGCAAAAATGAAACGAGTTTTAATCTGCATATATGTCTGTTCGATAGATTGTGGATGACGAATTAATGGATGAATTTGATCGGTTTTATCATTTGTCGAATTTAACCATGGTAGAATTTTGAATGTAATATAATAATATTTTTTCAGGAATTCTTGCCAATCTTGTAGAAAAAATCCTGCAGGTGAAAGATGAAATGCTTGCCATAAATCATTTTGTCCACGTACAAGATCTAGGTTCTTGAGCTGGTATATACGATTTTCAATGAAATTTTCACCTACTAAAAGTAATCGTGCTTCTTGGTTCCAGAACACTTGTTTGAAATCTTCATGGTTAGCCACATGATCGGGATGATTTCGAGGCAAAACATTACGTTTCCAACTACTTAATGTATAATCGATTGTTTCATATGTATCGGGACGCAATAATGATTCAATTGAATTTAATGCTTGACGACCTTGTGATTCCGTGAAACCATGACGTTGCAATATTTTCAAGGATAAATCTGTTGCAATATTACAATGATGACTAGAAAAAAGACGTCTAGAATGAAGAAGAAATTTAGGAATAATTGTACGAATTTGAGACATTTTTCGAAAAGAAAAAAAATCAAATAAAAAAACCACTATTTACACTTATGTTTCGTTTTGTTTAAATAGTTTTGAATAGTTGTCACAATTCAAAGCCGTATTACGTTCACTGTAGTCACGTTGTTTTTTTTGCTCATTCTTTCCTTTTCCCTTGGTTCACACGAGTGCACAACACGTTCGACAATGGTATGTTTTTTTTCGTTTTTTGTTCCAAAATTTCAATTTTTATCCAATTTCTTTCTCTAAAATTCTGTTTAGACCAAAGGTACATCATCATTCGGTAAACGACACAATAAGACGCACACATTGTGCCGTCGTTGTGGTCGTAGTTCATACCATATTCAAAAGAAAAAATGTTCTTCATGTGGCTATCCAAATGCCAAAATCCGAAAATGTAAGTTGTTTATTAGTTTGATTTTGATTGAAAATTAAATTTGACATCCATATTATCTCAGACAATTGGAGCGTTAAAGCTAAACGCAGGAAGACTACCGGTACTGGCCGTACTCGTTATTTGAAAATAGTCCATCGAGTATTTCGACGTGGTTTCAAAGGTCTACCAGTGGCTGCAAAAGGAAAAAGTGGTAAATCGGGAGAAAAATCTGCAGCATCGTAGAAGACATTTGAACGAAAAAAATATTTTGTGAAAAAATGATTTTTAAAACTTTTTCTGAATAAATATAACATTGACGTAAATTTATTCACCGAGGGGTTAAGAAATTCATTGGTTACAAAGAATATTCCATACACACATCTTTGTTAACAAATATAAAAATGAAAATATATTTCACACGTTCAACGTGCCAGTTGAGCAATCAACGATGCACACATTTCAAAAAATTCCATTATATTATGGTTTTTGTATTGTGCATGACCGGTAAATTCAGTTGTCGATGCCATATTACCGGTCAACGATGATGGCCCGGTAATGACCGAATCCTTATCTTCTTCATCATCATCAGGTAGGGATTTGAAATCCAACAGGAAACTTTTATAATCAACCTGATAAAGTTGTAGGGCCATTTTAAAATATTTGCCATTCGCCGGATTCTTACGACGTGCTCGTACATAGAATTGATTCACCACTTTCCATTCCTTTTCGTTTGAAAAAATTATTAATTTCTGGAATCAAATCAATAAAATAACTTACAAATTCTAAAAGTTTCATGGCACGATATACTTCATTCATAATGTCGATTGGTTTACTTTGAGATCTAATACCTAAATGCCATTTAGCCTTTTTGATTGGTGTTGTTTTATGGTTTTTCTGATCTTGTTGACCAACACTATTCGTACGTTGTCGATTATCGGATGTGATTGCCGATACATTGACACCGGCACCAGACACACCACCACCACTAAGGATTCGTTGCCGTTGTTTAGGAAATGGACTACTTGAATCCAAATATGGTGGCGGACTAGATGACACGTATAAATCTTTTAAATCTAATTTGATTGCTTCATCTTCGATACCCTTATTATCGACGATCAAATGATATGCAATGGCCAATTGATCATGTGCATCACCACTGAGCAATGAATCATGTACTTCTTGTTCGGTAACACCGAATTTTTCACAAACTTCATTTACAGCTTCGATATCAATAAATGATGCATCATTAGCCGTTGGACTTGGAAACAGATAAGCAGCCAAATCTTTTTTGAACCATTCATGCACTTTTATATCTTCAATGGTGGCCCGTTTTATAGGATCCACTTGAATCATTTGGCACAAAAGAGTTACAACCGATTTGTTCAAATAATCTGGTATGAGAAATTGTCCGGCTAAATATTGTTAAACGGTTAAAAATTAGATAAAAGATTAAATAGATAATTTGATAGGTACATTTAATTTTTCGAAACAATGTTGGCATATGTTCATCATCGAATGGAAGGGTACCACATAAAAGTGCATAAAGGATAACACCACAAGACCATATATCAACTTCGGGTCCGGCATACAATCTGTAATTGATAACAATTTATTATTTGAAATGGGTTTATGTTTTTTCTTTTATACTCACTTTCCGGCAATAACTTCGGGAGCTGCATAATTTGGTGAACCACAACTGGTACGTAAAAATTCACCATCACGCATCATATTCGAAAGGCCAAAATCGGCTATTTTTACATTTAGATTCTGATCCAATAGAAGATTTTCCGGTTTAAGATCACGATGTACGACCATATGACGATGACAATAATCAACGCCAGAAATGATTTGCTGAAAAAAACGTCGTGCTTCTGATTCTTTCAATTTACCATGTTTTAATATATAATCGAATAATTCTCTTCCGGATACATATTCCATTATCATGAATATATCTGTTGGTGTACTGATCACCTGATAACTGGAATAAACATGTAAAAAAAACATGAATAAAAATTAAAAAATAATGAAAATTTAAATGGTATAACTTACAGTTTGATAATATGTGGATGTCGAAACAATTTAAGATATTGAATTTCACGTCGAATCTTGCCTACAACATCGAGATTTTTAATTTTTTGACGATTCAAAATTTTTACAGCAACTTTATGATCAGTAATCTGATGTGTGGCAACTATAAGCAAAAGAAAAAAATGTTACAGTCAATCAAATCAACAAGAAGAATAATTACTTACTTTTGACTTTACCAAACGATCCGATACCTAAGGTTTCACCCAGAATATAATGGCCAATTTTGACCGATTGACTATGTGGCTGCGGATTATTGATTGCCATTGCAGCTGTTGGTTGTGGTTGAGAATTCTTATCAGCCATTATCTTATAACGACATTGATGTTAAGAATAATGATTATGTTTTGAACAAAATAACACAACGATGATGGATTGACTTGAAAACAGCACATATAGTTAAAACATTAAAACAATAATAATAAACTAAATCGAGAGAAGTAACAACGAAAGAATATTAACCACCAAAAACAATCGAACGAATGAATGATGACAATATTGAAATCATCGATAACATTTATCTAAATTCAGCGACATCCAAATAAATCAAAAGGAAAAAAACGATTCAGGTACGATGATGATGAGGGAACAATTTTAGCAACAACTCTGTGTTTTGTATATGAAAACAAATTTATTTTTTACACAGTGGATTACAATCTCCACTTGCATATACTTGAAAAACATGTGAAGTTATTGGTTAAATGTTCTATGCGTTGTTATTCGGATTTTAGCTACATATAAAATGTATGTATGTATGTGTGTGTTTGTGTTTGTATCGACGACGATTCTTGACAAGGACAATGTAGCAAAGAAAAACATAATCACTGCCTTGTCATAGTGATTGTATGTTTAATTGTTGGATTATTATTATTATTATTATTAACAAAACAAAAATGTTTGTTGGTGTTTTTTTTTCTTGAATATTTATCGTTTTTAAATTTTGAGAATTTAACCATTTCATAACACACAACAACATAATACACACCATCGATGCATTGGTATCATCAAGATCATCATTTATTATTTACATATATACAAAAGTATCACGACATCTTTTGGTGTTTATGCGCAAATCTAAAACCTAAAATACTAAAATCATTTCTTTCATTTCATCATCATCAGCTATATAATGATTTTTATATGATAACCAAGATGTAAACGTGACTTTTTTGTGTGATGTGTGTGTGTGTGTGTTTTGAAAAGCAGCCATCTTGATCATAGGTTTCGAATCTTTCATTATATGATTCTGGGACGGAATTTTCTTTAATTAATCATTCAATAGATATTCCGATCGCATTTTTATAGAATTCAATTATGAATTAATAATAACCGGATAACATGAAATCAATTAGTAAGTACAAATGAAAAGAAAGAAAAAAAATTGGGATTAATTGTCCAGTGATTTGTCTTTGACATGTGTAATGTGTAATACAAAACTATGATGGAAACCGGACAAATAAAAACAAAAATTACATAATTATATTGATTTGACAATTTGACATATAGATACTTCGAAATATATTATATCCATTAATATTGTGGCTGCCGACAATTTCTTGCTAAAAAAAATTAAGTTTTGGTATGTGCTTATGAGTATTTCAATTCAAATAAACTTGTAGTTATTGATGAATATATTGGATTAGATTTTTGGATGATCTTGATGATGATGATGATGGTGGTGGTGATGGCGATGTTGATGTTGATGATGGTGATTTGGTTGATCATTAGTAGTTGATGATGGCAAGGCTGTATCTTCATAATTTTCATTACTAAGATCTTGATAAAAATATTGATGTTCACGACCACTTCCAGTGATGGCGTGAACGACACCACCACCACTACCAGGATGATTATCCAATTGTTTGAAATTTTTTCGCATTCGTCCAGAAAATAATCGTGCAATTTGTGTAAATTTTTTCTTCGATAATTTGCCCATATTACGTAATCGTTCTTTGAATATGGCATCTGAATCGAGAAAATTACTAGCTTGTGTCGAATCGGATCCGGTTGTACTACTGGAATCGAATATGATTTATTAGTAAGAACAAAATTTAAAAAAAGTAAAAATAATTTACCCATAACTGTATTGGTTATTATCCGATTCCAATGTTGACATGAAATCATGATTCATTCGTAATTCACGAACAAATTCTTCATTTTGAAGGAGAATAGCGAAACGTTCATCTTCCAGATATTGTGCCATTTCAGGATCATCATTCATCAATGTTATTTGACGATTACGTTTATTCTCCTCCATTTTCTAGATCGGGTGTTCAAAGATTTATGACAAGAAATTTAAAAAAATTTTAACAAACCTGTTGCAAAAATGAACTACTCATCATATTGGCATGTTCATTATTGGCATTAAAATTCGTGAGTTTTCGTTGGGTATCATTCAATGTAATACGAAGAAAATCGGCCGATAATTCACCCAGTACGGGTGGTTCCCATCGATATTTATATCGTAATGAATCTTGTGAGATGATTTGATTTTTCAATAATGAACTCGACATGGCAGCATCCGTTTGGTCACCGAGAACAAAATTTAAATCTTTACTATAGGATTTAGGATTCATCATAGCCGATTGTCCATCGTCGATAAAAATGTTGCTATTATAATGCTATATCGATGATAAATCAATCAATCAAATTGATCAAAAAATTGATGGGAAAATTCCCATATGAATATTTGAGAGATACATACATGTTCATTATTTTTATTATTCATGGCTGCCTTATTTCTTTTCTTTTTCTCCTGTGATTCATTATTGATTTGTAATAATTGATCAATAGTTGCATCAACGACACCATTATTGGCACGAAGTATAGCTTCAATAACATCTTCTTCCATATCCGGAAACATGTGTTTAAAATCGGACATTGCTTGATTGAATTCAAGCTGTGTTACACCGGACGAATTTGCTGGATACATTTGTGTATGTTTTTTCGTTGTTGTTGTTGTTGTTCAAATGACAATTATAGAGTGGAGAGATGGATCCAAATGAGTGATGATTTTTTGGTTGTTTGAAAAGTATGAAGAACAGTGGAGCTATTTATTATTATTAATATGAGATTATGATTTATAACCGGATTTGATCATTTTGAATGTTGTCGTTGTTCTTGTTGAATACGACGCAGAATTGCAACAACCTCGGGTGAATTCATCAATTTCTAAAATTATTGAAATTTTATTTTTCAGAAAAAATCTATGAATACACAATATACAGACCATTTTCTTTTGATTTAAAATGTCCTTAATTTGTTTGTGCAAATTTGCATCAGAATTTGATTCTAAAACTGTCGAATGACAATCACCAGCAATCAATGTTCCATCCGATGATGATGATGACGATGAATTTTGTTGTTGCGAATAAAATTGATTCGTTTTTTCAGTTGCCGCTGATGATGATGATGATGATGATGATTGAATCATTGATGATGATGATGTTTCATTCGTAATCAATTTATTGTCTGATGATGATGGTGATGAAGTCTTTGGATTCATTCTTGTGAACGAGAAAAAATTTCTACAAACGTTTTTTCTTGTTCAACATAAATATTGGTTAACGATGCAACGGTAATGATAATTATGGCCATACTGATTAATGATGATGATGATGATAGCTGCTATAATATATGTTAGATTAGATTAGATATTTGGATTGGTGATTATCATATCAATGAAATCACAATAAATTGACTAAATTGACATTAATTTAAATGATGATGATGATGATGATGATAATAATAATGTCAACAAAAACAACTCAATAATAATGAAATGTATTGATGTAAATATACAATGAGGGCTAAAGATGGCGCCTCTATCCAATTGATTTTTAAAAAATGTTTGAATTTTCATCATCAATAAAATCATAGTCATCATCATTGCAGATCTGGTGAACATCATCATCATTATTAATCGATTCATTATTATCGGCAATTGAAATTATTATTATTTTTATCTATAATAACAAACTACTTTTTATGTTATTCTGCAATGCTGATGATGATGTTTTTTTTGCATCCATTATTTTTTTTTTTTTGTTGTCCCAAACTAGATACACCTATTTTTCATATATTGCCATAGTAATAATAATAATCGAATCATTTCTGTATATATGGTAACGACGCCCACGTTCATTACATATTGTTGTTGTCAGTCATTCAGTCAGCCATATCATGATCATCGTTATTCATCAATAGATTCGATGTACAAATATACATTCTCAACGACTTAAAAGTGAAATGGTTCATATACATAACAAAAGCTCACGATCGATATTTGAAAACAAAAACCTATATATCACGAAAACATACAATGTGGACACACCTACACACAAACCGAAAAAAGTCATTCATTTTCATATCTTATGTATTCATTAAATGGATGCCATTTTTTTTCATACTTGTACTACATGACGACAATCAAAAATTGTTTGATGATTTAGAATCAATTATCTTCATATAACACACATCAACAAAAAAAAATTGTGAAAAGGACAGGCCCTTAACAAATAGCCGATCAAATATAAAAAAAAATCCCGTTTATCATAGATCGACATGTGACGCCGATTTTGGGCAATTTTATTTTAAAATTTTCATTTCATTATTAATCATGATCAAATGTTATCAAATGATGACCGATAGAAATGTCTTTGGCAACATCTAGAAAAAAGAAAACGTACTTGTTTATTGGCCATATTTCCCATATGTATATTGACTATGTAAATAACGAAATCAAGCAAATGAAAGAAAAAAAAAGACATTTTGTATTACAAACAAATTTAAGATTTAATTGCAACAAAGTCCATCCAATATCCATTGCTACGTAAGATTGTAATTTCAAAAGAAAAACCGAAATCGAATACCGCCAAAAAAAAAAATGATGATTGCGTGTGATGTTTGGTGGTATAGGAACAATCAAATGAAAAAAAAAAACTTCAATAAAATGGCCATCATCATCACATATATATATGAGTAACGAAAATTAGTTCATAGCATGTTTCATCATCTAGATTAGTGATGCGAAAAGAAAAAAAACATTTTTCAAATGGGCGCTTTTAAAAGGGCTTACCATCGGAAAAAGAAAATGTTTTTCAATCAAATTCAAACAAAAAACTGGATAATGATGACAATTTATCTTAATGGTTTATTAGAGTGAATTCCTGGTGATTGTACGGCATACTTTTTATCATCATCATCATCATTACCACATCCTCACCGATTTAGATGTCATCAGAATGGTCAAGTAAGTTGATTTGAATATTTTTTTTCATTCTCCAGAATGAAATGTATGAGAAAAATACACGCAAACACAAACATAAATCCATTTAAAGTTTTCGTCGGTGATTGTTTGGAATTTCAAAATTTGAAAAAAATGAATGTGAAAAAAACATGAATGTGAATATGAGATAATCAAAAAAAAAAAAAAAAAAATATCCAACATTACCGATCATTTTATGTGTTTGTTTTTGAATGAAAATAAATAGTTATTATTTATAATAACTATGGTCAAACCATTTTCATTTACCTGACTAGCAATTAAATGCGTCAAAAATTTTTAGTGGTCTTTGTCGAATCTATCGATTGATGTTGTTGTTATTATTACCATCATTATTATGTCTGTTTTTTTTGTTTTGTTTTGGTTTTCAAACGAAAGAAAATTGATCGAATATAGAGAGAGAGAGAAAAAAACGGTCATTGAATGAATGATTGACAAAGATTGATGATCGATTTTCTATTGATCCGATCCGATGAATGTTGAATGAATGGTATCTATAAATTTCTGAAGATGAAATTTTTTTTTTCTTTCGCTTTTCAAATAAATCTTGTGTATAACATTCAATTTTTCCATGGCAATGGATATCGATTGATTCTGTTTTCTTCCTACTAATAATAATTACAATCATGTTGATGGTAAATATGTACCAAATTGATGGAAACATGAACAATTTATATTTTTGGAACATGTCAATGGTGTCTTCCATGATGATGCTAAATTTGCCATTTGAGATGAAAAAAAAATTTCGATTAATTAACAATCAATTAATCAATGGAATCCAATAAATTTATATCTAAACGTTCGTGATCGATTCGTTCATGGACATTTTTAATTTAAATTTGAACAAATCTAGCCATTTGTTGATCATCAAGATTTTTGTTTTCTGTATTCATTTACCATTTTGCAGTAAAAAAAAAGAAAGCAGATGATGACCGTAAATTCATTTGTAAGACCTTTAGTTGTTAGTAGTTATCTTGGTCAGTATCTGTAGTTGTTTGTCAAAATATTTGAGCCAACAACAGCTGCTACTAAAGGCTGCATTGAGAAATGGCCGAATTTTTTTTTTCATTTCATTATTATTATTGTGAATATATAAACAAACAGATAATGTCCGTTTTGCATGCCCTTATTGAAATTATCTTCATCTTTGATTTGTTGATTTGATTCGAAAATTCGATTCGAGCCATCATTATTATGGCGATGATGATGATGATGATGACCGATAGAAATTGAATTTTGTTCATTTCTTTAAATCAAGCCTTTTCTGTTGTAAAACATGAATGAAATGAAATGGAAAATGACATAAAAATTCCAATTGAAATTTGTCAAATATGATCTTTCCCTTTATATTTCATACATAATTTTTTAAGTTGAATTATGTTGACAAATCAGAAAATAATGAAAAAATGAATTTTCCAGCAAACAAATGGCAATCAAATTATGATTTTCTCTTTGACAACAATGACGACGAAAAAAAAATTCAATCATCATATAAAGCGATTACGAGAGATAATCGAAATCAAAAATAACTCCGAATAAACTGGAATTACAAACATATGCGTATACGTGTATTGTGTACGCGATTTTGAATTGTTCGACATTTTTGTGTGTGTGTGTGTGTAACACAAACCGCTAATCAACGAGTTTTGATTACAACGATGATCGAATGTCACAATCAAAATCAATCAATCAATCAATTGATTGGATTTGGACATGAATTTCTATAACAAACATTGATCAACATGAGGATTATCTCATCTGGGTAGATGTGAAACGAAAATAATCTCCAAAAGATCAATGATTGTAATCGAATCGAGTTTGGATAAAAGAGAGTGGAAAAAAAGAACAATCGTTGCAGATAACCATTATCAAACGACGATGAACGAATACGAAACAAGATAGAAGAAAGAAAAATATTCAAACAACCGACTGGAATGGATCGAATCATCATCCTGACTTCGAAAATAACATCGAACCATTCAACAAACAAACAAACAAGAAAATAGGTGATGGAAAAAAGGCCGAATCGATGATGATGATGATGATGATGAATTCGACGGTTTGGATGATGATGATGATTATTTCAATGATGATCCTTGCAATGTATCCATTGTAGACAGAAAATGCTATATGCACATCATCATTATTATTATGACCTCTACAGTATCAGCCCTTCTCTCAAATGTTGTCTCTTTTGACCAATTCGAATGTTTTACAACAACAGCAACAGAAAAAACCAGAAATTTTTTCAAAAAAAAAAAAAAAAAAAAAAAAAAAAAAAATACAATTGTTCAACACAATGTCGATGTGTTTGGATTGAATAGACCGGAATACAATGATGATGATGATACCCGGTAATTGTATGGTCATTTCCGAATCATTTTAGTCGATATTTTGGAAAAGAAAATCTAACTTAAACATACAATGGACAAAAAGAAAAGAATTTTAGATTCCAAATGAACAAACATCATCAAGTACAAGTGAAGCTGGATGAAATAAACAAAAATCAATTTCAACATTCAAACAAAAAGTGTTGTCACAATTTAAACTTGTTAACAAGAATGGTCAAGGACAAAATTAATCCCATTGATGGCATATTTCATATTCAAATCATATTTTGACATATACGCTTGCCACATTCATCAATGTGGATAAGCTTTGAGAATGTAACAAAAAAAAATCAAGATTTTATCCACGATCCATTCATTTCACTTTATTTCATTCACTTCAATTCAACATTCATAAAACAAAACCAAATTGTGAATGATGAAAATGACAATTGTTGCACGTATATAATCCATTGATATTTTTATTCAACTTGACCTAATCACGATCAACCTTTGTCCTCAAAACAATTCTCAAATAATCAGGTTTTAATTTGTTTGTTTCGAACTAGTATTCATATATGAATGTGAGAGAAGAAAATAATGTTGGTTAGTCACATCACAATGACCAACCGGACATGTACCGGACATGTATGTTTAAAACTTTTTTTTAAAAAAACGACGTTATTATTATTGAGAACATACATACATCCATTTAGACAGTAACAAATTACTATTATTATTAATATACAATGGATGTTTGTGGAATCTCTCTCTCTCTCTCTTGTGCATGCATGTGTTTGTTTGTCTGCCAGTCAATATGGTATGTGAGTAAGAGATAGAAAAAGATAGACGTGAGTATGTTGTCCATTCACATTTAAAAACCATCATCATCGTGATGGACGAATTGAGATAACAAAGTATTCGATAGATAATACGATGACCGTATCCGGCATAGTAGTAGTATACGATAGCAAGATGTACGATTGAAATGAAATAATGAAACAAACAAAATGGCTACAAGGCGGAGTTGGGAGCCACATTGAGAGAGAAATAAAATAAAAAATGTGAGATATAAAAGAGATTTTTTTCTGTGTGAATAAAGTTTGAGAGACTAAAAAATCCATTGAAGATCCAAGTCATCATTCGATTTCGATTCAGTTTCTTGTTCAGGATCATAATCATCATTCAGTTTGACATCGGCCATACTTTGACATGAAAAATGATTTCCTTTTTTCTTGTATTGTTTAGACGATAAAAATAAAAATAAAAAAATTACAACCAAGTTCAGTCAAAAGAAAAAGATCCACAGGTCAACATAAAACAACAGGTTGGCCATCTACATTCATTTATTAAATAAGTGAAGGGTTTGTCATTAACTTTTTCTACCTGTTTCGGTTTTTCTACATATTGTATGAGTGTGTGTGTGTGTGGTGTCTTGTGTGACAATTGAAAATCACACTGGCCTATACCTAAACTACTTTGAGGTGACAATTCTGGTTTTATTTCTTTGTTTTTGTTCTTCACTGACGACGACGACGACGACGAGCACGACTACGACAACACAATGGTGGTGGGGTATTGAATTTGTTCAATGTCATTGTGTTGTTGTTGTTGTTGTTTTCGGCATTCCAAATGTTATGTTTGCATCAATTGGACTTTGTCATCATCATTGTTGTCATCTTATCAATGTGATTTCAAACAAAGAATCATTGTGCAAATTAAATTGTTAATAAATAAATTGACATATAGATAAAAGTATTTGGTTCAATGCATGCATATATTATTATCAATGTTGATTAGGTAATAAAAAAAACGGAAATCAACACTGTCAAATGAAAGTCATTAATTTCAAGAAATTTCACCATTTTATTGTCTGTCGATTACATTTATGTTAACGTCGCATTGAAAAAATTCACCATACTATAAAATACGATCGAAACCCGATTCAGACTTATTTATTTTCTGTACCTGAATCCAATCATTCACTAAACAAAATTATTTTATTTTCGACGACTTCCAAAAAAAATCGGTGACCAAAATCCAATTCATTCACAATCTATGAACCGAACGAAAAAAAAAATGTCCACAAATTGAAATTGTGTAAAGTGCAAGAAATAAATAAATAAAAAAACACAAGTCAATTCAGTTTATTTTCTATAAAAAAAAAAAAAAATCTTTTCAATTTCAATAACTGTTTCGCCAGCCTGCTCAAAATAACAACCTGTCAATAGCAACAAAAAAAAATGAGAATGTAAGTAAAATTTGAAAAAATTTAAATTTAATTTTCAACAAAATAAAACACCACACGATAAAATGGACAATATAATTATTATTATTGAAAAATGAAATCGAGCGAAAAAAATGTTACGATTTCCCGACACATCACATGGCATAAAAAAAACTTGTTGCTAATTATCTTGCAATATTTGCAAGATGCAACAACAACAATCATCATCGAAATACCGGAACGATAATCACATCATGTTGTTCATTCATCAAATCCACGATGATGATGATGATGATGATCTTTAATTATCTAACCATTTTTAAGATTTAAGAAATGTGATGAACATCATATTGTTAATTGTAATCAACAACAACGACCGACGCTTCTCGATTCATTCATTTATATCCAGTTTTGTCTATTTTTATTTATTATTATCATTAATAACACGAATTTTTCCATGTTGTTCTTGTGTGTGTGTGTGTGTGTGTGTGGATGGATGGATAGATAATTATGGCCACAATGGAAAAGAATGTTTATACATCTTGGATTTGTTGTTGTCGTTTCCAATGTTTTTTGATCAACGAATTGGAAATGATTTTCTTGTTGTTCTTATTATCTCTCAAAACGAGATAGGAAGAAGCGTCGAATTTCGATGATGATAGAGATGTTTGGGGTTATCTGTTGATTATATAATGATGATGACCACCGTACATAACCGATTTCGATGATCATGGTGTGTGTGTGTGTGTGTGTGTTGGTTTAAATTGGAATGAAAAAAAAAAAAAAAACAAAACTTCAGCCTATTAAATGAATTTTTTTCATAAACAAAAAAAAATTATGGAACAGCAATTGTGTTGTTTTAAAAAATATGTTGAAATAAGATGCAATAAATTGACCGATATTGAGGCAATGATAGCCGATGATTAGACGATGCTAATGACCAAGTAAAGATCGTTCGCAGATGTCGTGTCCGGGCTATTTCACCATCATCCGGTTTTTTTTTCGAAAAAACAAGCTTATCATAAAATGACCCATTTTGACTTGATTATAATTTCATGATGATGTTGGTGATGGTTATGACAAATTGGACATCATCATCTTCATTATTGCAGAAAATTTCAACTCATTTCCGTTCTTGGACTTATTACATTGTCTGGTTTTTATTCTCTCTTTGTCCATTGTCTAACCCTATGTACCGGAACCATACAAACACAAACACACACACACACACACAGTTAGTGTAAATACTTTACTGCTGCTGTTGTTGTTTGGAAGAAAAAAAATCAAATACTTTTATTTTGTTGTTGATGTATTATGAAAATGAAACAAACCTGATGTGTTAATACGTTGACCGAACTCTTACAACAATAGAAATACGGTGGCCAATTTTTTTTTTTTTGGGCGATTCAAAAAACAAAACAAAACAAAATTGTTTTGTTTTTCTTGTATCCATTGTCTGATGTCCACATGTCGTATGGGGGCAAAAACTTTTTTTCTCTTTCATAATTCAGTTTGAATAATAATGAAAATCAAATATTGACCATATTGAAAAGGGCCGTTATATTTTGTTTGTTTGTTTTTTTTTTTTTTGAAAAACAACAACATAATTTTTTTTTACAATGATGATGATCAATGATGTTTGATGTTTCATATGCTCAAAAGTATTGAACTATGAAACTATTATTTGGAACAAAATAGGGAAAAAATCCATTGAGCAAAAGGTGTTAATTGTTAATAATGTGCAATCCTATTTCAATTGATAATAATGGATTAACTTTTTTAAATTTACGCCTACACTTTGTATGTGCTACAATAGATTTCATTTCATTTGGATATATTGTCAGGTTCAAATATTTAAATTATAATGATAATATAATCCATTTTTCTATTCAATACATAATTATCCTATTAAAAACTTTTGTTTTCTATCCACTATCATATATGCATAGTTATACTACGGAAGAAAAAACGATGATCAAAACATCATCATCATCATCATCTAGCCACCGCCATCACCATCATCACCATAATCATCACTTACAATCATCAAATCAAAATGGTTTTAATTCATCATTCATGATGATGAAATCACCATTGTCACCATCATCGACAGCATCATCGGACACATCATCATCGTCATCGTCATCATCAATTTCAAATTCGATGACAACAAAAACGAAACCAACATTTGAAACTGCACAAAATGGCAACATTTCCCGTGTAAACATACCGATTGTATTCAATAAAAATCGTGGCCATATTTCAATGTATAGATTTATAAATACCAAGGGTAAAAAAATGAATAAAGAAAATGGAATAATGAATGGCCACAATAATAATGGTTATATGCGTAACAATGTTCATCATCATTATTTTGATAATAGTAATGACTATGATGGACTAGTGGCTACAGCAAGGCCACCATCATCAACAGCAGCAGCAAAATATGTGATCAGTAATCATCATTTCTACAAGAAACGTATATCGGCCATTGATAAGATACAAGAAGAATTACGTGAAATGAAATTAAGAGAAGACGAACTTAGGTATGTGTTCTGTTTTGTTTTTATTTTTTGGTTTGGTTAATTATATATAATTACAACATTGTTATTACTGTGTAATCAGTGTTTTTTTAAAAAAAATTTACATACGTGATTTATGAATTTTCAAATTGATTTTTATTTGTTCATTTTCTGTTACACTTGATAGATGTCAACGTATTCGTGTTGGTGTTTCATATCCAAATCTAAATTCAATTTGTGACGATGATTTCACCAGTAGTGATGATCAAGCAATTGAATCAAGTGAAGAAAATAAAGATTCATTCCATAGCCGTTGTAGTAGTAATCCGGATTTATTGAATGTAATGAATGGTGGCATGTCTTCATCGCCATCATCATCATCATCATCATCATCATATACGATTGCTATTGTTGATATAGAGAACACTATATCATCAACAACAACATTGGCATCGGATACATCTGATTCGATCAATGATTGTGTAAGTTTTTATTGGTTATTTTTTTTTTTTTTGACCATTTGTTTGATTGTAAAGATTTCATTTGACCGTAATCATTGATGCTAACTTGTAAATTTTTTTTTCTTTTGAATTAATCGATATTTTTTCCGATATTCCAAAAATAGGGATTGAAAATTGGCGGACCACGTCGTAAAATACCATTGATTGCAATTTGGGAACAAAAAATACAACAGATTAATGAATGCCAAAATGGTGATACATCATCAACAGCAAAAACGACAACCAATAATGATGTCAAAAATGACAACAACGACAAGATTAATGGTTCAAATTAATAATCGATGCTAATTTGATTGAACAAATCAAAATCAAATCATTATCATTAACAATCGATTTATAATCAATATTTGATAGCCTAAAGCCATTGATCAATTTTTAAATCTTATCGTTCGCAAATCGAATAACTTGAATAATTGAACAAAAAAAAAAATATCTGTCTTAAACACTATGATTGATCCGTATATTTTTTTTTTCGTTCATGTCAAATCATTCGCACTTCCATTATCATTATGATAAATTCAACAAGTTTTTTTTTGCTGTAAATTTTAGAAACTTGTTAATTTCGTTGTTCTTGTTTTTTGCCTCTTTTCTACCGTTTTATTTATTCGTTTTTGGTTGTTTATGGCATGAAGAAAATAATTTTCATCATTCATCGCCAATCATCGCCTTAATTGTAAGGTGTTTGGTTTATATTACTGAATAGACATGACCTGAATCTAATTTGTTTTTTTTTGTTTGTTTGTTTGTAAATAACAGCCTCTGTTTTTGTCATAATCATCACACACACAAACATGCACACTTTTGGATAGATTGATGTTGATGAAAGGATTTTTGTATGCAAACATTCATATGACATATAACTATAGTGAAGAAAAACCAGGACAATAATTTTTGAATACAAAATATCCACATGAAAAGATTTATCATCAACGAATGTAAAATAACTTTTGAATTGTCATTGTTTCAAGAATAGATTCTTTTTTTTTTGAAATGGATTTCAGAATTTTTCTATTCTCTCACTTTTGGATTATTATATTTGAATATATGTACGGATCATAAAGTATGTTTTAATTTGATAATAATATTTCTTTATTATTGGAATTTTTTTTTCTTCTCGTAATCTCCATTGTTATCACTTTGCTTTGTATTTGAATTTTTTTTTTACATTTTATTTGCATCATAAAACAAATGATGAATGATGTGTAATTAAATTTATTTTACCTGCTCCTCCTGTTTTAACCATCAATGGTAACCCGTTTGTTGACATATACGAAACAGATCATTTTGGACAATTTAAATCTGAATTTTCAAGTTCGTAGGCGAGGTTTTTATGTTTTGTTTCAAATTTATTAAGATCTAGTTTATTTCTTTCAATTATGTTCACCACAGAAGACATAAAATTTCAGATAATGTGATGAAAAAAAAACGGAAACAAAACAATGAGAGATTAACATTTAAGAATGGATTAAGGTTAACAAACAGAAAAAAATGTGGACAAAAATAATTGTTACTTTTTTTTGGAAAATTATTATGAATATGAAGGTAGTTTTGTGTTGTGAATCAGAATCAGTTGAAACATTTTCAACTGTGACCATTATTGTAATTGTTATTGGTATCGATATCATTGGCCATTTGTAATGATTTTCGTTCCGGATTATTGGCCATTTTTCCATTTTTCGTTGAACGAATATCCGATGATGATGGCGTCATCATCATCATCATCATTGTTTGATTATTAGTTTTACGTATACCACCATTATTGTTACGGCTTGAACATGATGTATGTGTTGATTGTATCGATGATTTATGACTATTATTATTATTGTTATTATTATTATTATGAAACCAATGATTGATTTTCATACGTAGCTGTCGTTTTCTATTGTTCATCAATTTAATTTGATTCAAATAATCTCCTTGTGTTAATGTTGTTGTACTATTTTCATTATCATTATCCGCCATAATAATATTGTTATTGTTTTCCATTTCAGATGATATAGAAAAACAGGAACCATTTTGGCCAGATATCTTATTTGTATTTGTATTTGTATTGTGATTAAAGTTATTTTCATCTATGGAATTATTGATGGCCGTTGATGTTGTCACTGAATTATTAAGATCCGGTTGAACATTTAATAAATGGCATTTGACTATTGTAATGATTGTTGGATTATCATTATTGTTGGAATCATCATTATTTTTATTGCTATTGATCATCATATCATCATCATCATCATCATTGTTCATAATAAATGTTTCTTGTCTTGTACTTGCTGATTGACCGGTTCGTTGCGGTCTTCCTGTTTGTATTGTTCGCTGTTGTTTGATATTATTCAAATCCAAATGCAGATGTTGATGTTGAATTAATGTTTGTTGTATATGATGATTCCATAGAAAGTTCTGTTTACTGTCAAAACAAGGAAAAACAATGAAAAAAAGGCATATGTCAACGATGATTTATGTAAATATTTGCGATAAAGGCAAAAAAATTAACTTACAGTTTGAGCCATTTTTGTTGATAACCAACTATTGAACCTGGACGACAAATTCGAATCCAAGCAATAGCTTCTAGAGCTGTAAAATGCCAATGTTTCATCAGATAACAGGCGATCATTGTTCCGGTACGGCCAAGACCAGCTAATAATGTTAGATAATGTCCGGTAATGTCAATGTGTCAACATGATTAAAAAAAATCAAACAAATAAACAAACCTTTGCAATGTACAGCCATCGCGCCGGGATTTGTTTCGGCAATGTGAAGAAATTCATCAACAATATGATCACCGGGTACACCACCATCAATAAATATAAGATTATAATGTTGGAAGCCTTTATCGGTGAACACTTTCGGATCATAACGACTTTTATTTAATCGTATTATGGTTGTTATATTATTTTTACGAAAAAAATTTATATACAATTTTACATAATGATTTGTTGAATGATCAGAATATGTTTGTGGATCACAGAATGCAATAAATTTTCCGGGTACAATCCAATTTAGATCACCATTTTCCACTTTTTCATAGAATAGATATTCATTTAGATTGAATTTCTCCATGTTTAGTATTTCAGTTATCGCTGCCTATTGATTAATTGAATGATTTGTAAGAAAAAAAAACATGAATAAATTAACAAAAACAATAACGTAGAAATTTGAATACAATCTACATAATATTACTACACTAGGAACTGACCTTATAAATAGCATTAAAACAATCTTCCAGATATAGATAATATTCACTAGTATCGAAACCGGCATCAACAAATGCGGCAAATGTTTTATATGCAACATAACTGATACTCAATTGTTTAAGACGTGCCATTACATCATCCGGTAGTAGGTGATGATAAATGATCTGGACGAAAAAAAAGAGAATAGAATTGAAATTCGAATTTTCATTCAAATTAATCATTAAATGGGGATTTTTTTTCGGACATAAACAGCAAACAAAATGAATGAAGAAAACAAAAGTGAAATTTATGAGTAGGTGACATAAAAATCAGAAAAAAAATTTGAATAAATTTTGAAATCATATACACAATCACTTACACAATATGATCCAATCAAATAAGCTGCATTGACTCGTTTGAATCGGTTGGTGGTTGTCAAATGAATGATCGTTTTGTTTCGCTGATGAAATCCGATTTAAAAAAAACGTGATGAGAAAAACAAAAACATTTTTCGTTGGCAGAAAAGATCTCTTACCTGTAAATGAGAGTTTATTTTTTTACAATATCTATATAACATTGCCAAATTCAATGGACCAAAATCATGATTGAATCTATTTGTATATGATATGAATGTATTTATTAGAAAAAAAATTATCGGAATGAGATCCAATTATACAAACTTACGGTGTATAGAGAAGCTCTTTATCAAAATGTAGAAAACATACGATCGAATCGGATTTTTTTAGGAATAAATTCAAATTCACTTCGGATACGGTGGCAAAATATAAACGATTGGTAAGAAATTCGGTAAAATGTAATGACCGTTCTTTCACCATTTCCAAAAGGGTTGTTGGAAAATTCTTCGATGGTGATCGAAATGTCATCGAATGACGAGACATTTGACGTGCTGCGGATGATGATGATGATGATGCTGATATGGACATGATTATTATCTAGTCATTAATTAATTATCTTGGAATGATATTTTTGGCAACAAACAATCAAAAAAAAAACCAAAACATAGACACGCCTAAGAATATGTCAATAATGTTATTTACTCCTTAAAACCGCTATATCTCGCATGAATATATGGACTCCATATTGCAGCTACTGTCCTTAATTTGTTTACAATGGAACCAACTAACGCTCCTACTGATGAATCGAATCAGCAGAATATCAATAACAATGACGACGCCTGTACAGAATTTGTCCTTTTTTCGCTTTTGATTTATGAATTGAAGTCAAATGAGAATACAAACCATATAGGAATTTCAAATCATCCATTGATCAACTCATGATTCGATCTACATTAAACAGGATATATATCTAACGGCCGCTCTGTGTGTATGATATAGCAAATCGATTCTATTGCAATTCAAATTCACTTTAAATGTTGAACAGCCATTAGACTTGTGTTTGTCAGAATGAAAAAGAATACATCTATTTTTAGTTCAAACATTTTTATTCAACAAACGCACACAGATTCAAAAGAATATTCACATCAAAATGATAACAGTTTTTTCTTGGCTATTTTATTCTGAATAAAGATAAGAGATATAAATAATGTCCTGGACTAAATCACACAACAGACAGAATAATATTTACAATATAAGGAAAAGAAAATTTTGTTTTGTATTTAAATATAGAATCATTGATTGAAATCATTATAATCATTCATCAACAGCACCCAGAATCAGGCCCTTTGATTTTGGATTTTCGAAACGATCCGGTGTGCTAATCGACATAACGGCTCTTAGTCCACAATAAAGTATCAGGATCAATAATAGACAAACAAGTAGACTAGATATGACAGGTAATGTAAACCATACGGCACAATCATAACTTTCTTCAAACAAATTCAGACTTTTAGTCCTTACAAATGGCTGTATTTGAAATCGATTGAATACAATTTCGGCATATTCACCACCAGGAACTGAAAGAGAAAAAAAAGATTGATATAATGAAATTTATTAGAACGAGTGCCACTTACCAAAAGTATTGTTCTTTGCTAATCGATATGTCTTTTTCGAACAACTATAAGAGAACCCATCTTCGTTGTTGGCCGTAAAATTACGATTTGACCATTCATTTGAATCACCATCATTTTCAGTAACTTCGATCGATTTGATTCCCCACCACATTCTACATCAAATTTGTGTGAAATTATTAATTTGAAAACTTGAATTTTTATACATACGTTCGAGCGCGATTGAACTTTATTGTGACTTTAAAATTTTTAGGCGTTTCATTGGCCATTGTGAATTCAATGGATTCGGCTCGAGTTTCGGTTTTTGATTTATCTGAGCAGCTACCATTCGAAACTTCAAACTTGGTGAATTCATACTTTTCGGGTTTCTGATCTTTTTCACCATAGCTGACAATGTCAATTTTGGATACATACATATATGCACATGGTTCATTTTTATTGGGAAATTTCAATACTTTAGCAGCAACATCAGTTGCACGGCGAACACGTATTTTTGGCTGATTTAATTCATCAAAAACGGTATTTTTTTCACCGGTCAACATGAATATTGTTGGCTCGGTTTGATTGAATTGTTCAACATATGAACGAATAATTGGTTCGTTTTGTTCCAATGTATCTTCGGGTAATGGTACTAATGTGTCGAATTTGGAATTATAAAATTGCGATTCATATGTTGAATAAGGAAAAAACATCTATAATGTAAAATAAAATCGGTTATTATAAATCCAAATGGTGGTGAAAATAAACATACCGCATCGTTTTCTTCGAATAATCTAGACAAAATGGTAGACTACTTTGCGAGAATTGTTCTACATTAATATCTTTCTGAATGAATGCCACTTTACGAGCTCGTCCACTATCCGGATACATTTGTAACAAATCTTCGGGATAAACATCATCGATTAATGATTGTGGTGGTGAGGACAATTGACCACCATCATCAACACTATTCATTGACCATAATATGAGCGGAACTTTTGGTTCATTATTATTACAATGAATAAATGTAAGGCAAAATATTGCCGTGATGAGTGTAAACAATGGAATGTGATTGTTTATCATCAACATGATTGAATATTCTACTTTCGAAATGATTAAATTCACATCGGGATGATTATCAAATTTTATAAGAGAAAAACAAACAATCAATTCACTCACAAACGCCCAATACGAGAACACGCAAATGCCAAAACAGCTGTCGGCCAATGATAATTCCATTCAATGATGAATGGATTGCCATCTGTTGGCACGTATTTACATTTTCTTCAATTTTGTCATAGATTTAATTAAATGTTAATAAAAAAAAATTCAATTCTTTAAAAATGATCGAATGAAATCGGCCATCTAATTGAATCTGAACATTCAATATAATTATCCCAATGGATTGAAGAAGAAATGATCGACCTTGAAAGGTGAACCTTTTTGACCCAATAAGAATTACAGGGTCTACGTGATTTTTTCGATTACATCATCTGTGTACAAGTCAATTCTTGCATCATAAACGAAAAAAAAAATGAAAAATTTTACAGAGCCAAAACATTACACACGCACACACACAGGTTAAATCGCACGCTTTTGGCCCCAAAAACATGACATTAAGATAGTACAAATTGTTTTTTTTTTGGTTTCTTATTAATTTAATGATCAAAAGATCTTGACCTGATTTATCATTGAAAATCGATCTTCCAGACTGCAAAGATGACGCTCTAATGAAACGAATCAAAATGATGAACTTTAATTCTATTCATTTTCTAATTAATTTATAATTTATAAATAATCTTAGTCTTCATATATTCTATTTATCATCGTCAGCGTATACAATTTCGATTGAAGAAATAAGAAAATGATGAAAGCTGCAGAATCTCCAACTACGACTTCTCCCAATAACATCCCAAAGATAATGGTCTTTCGACCAACTTTGGAAGAGATGAAAGATTTTTCCAAATATCTCGAATACATGGAATCAAAAGGTGCCCATCACGGTGGTCTTGCAAAGGTTATTTATGAAAAAAAAAATTTGCATGCATCAAAATTTTATTTGATGATTTAAATGAAATTTTCTTCTGTGTGTAGATTATTCCACCACCCGAATGGATTCCACGTAAAGCTGGCTATGATAATATCAATGTTCAAATAAAATGTCCAATTAAACAAGTGGTCAGCGGTTGTCAAGGCTATTATCAACAGTTCAACATTTCAAATCGTTCAATCAGTTTTCGTGATTTTCAAAAACTAGCCAATTCGGCCGATTATCGAACGCCGGATTTTTTCGATTATGATGATCTCGAGCGTAAATATTGGAAAAATATTACCTATAATTCCGCAATCTATGGTGCTGATGTTCCAGGATCATTAACAGATAGTGATTGCAAGGAATTCAATATCAATAATTTAAATACAATTTTGGATCTTATCAACGATAGTTATGGCATCAAAATTATGGGTGTAAATACGGCCTATCTATACTTTGGCATGTGGAAATCATCATTTGCTTGGCACACAGAAGATATGGACCTATACAGTATTAACTATCTACATTTTGGGGCACCGAAATCCTGGTATTGTGTACCACCTGAATATGGAAAAAAATTGGAAAAACTTGCCAATGGTATGTTCGATTTTTGTTAAAATTTCCACCATAACCTAATACCATTAATCTATTTTCACAACAGAACTATTTAGTTCACAATATCAAGAATGCCCAGCATTTTTACGTCACAAAATGACAATCATTTCGCCACAAATTTTGCGAAAATATTCGGTTCCATATAATAAAATTACACAGGAAAAGGGCGAATTCATGATTACATTTCCTTACTCATATCATGCGGGATATAATCATGGATTAAACTGTGCAGAATCAACCAATTTTGCACTACCACGATGGATTGAATATGGCAAACGTGCCACAATTGTTAGTGTGATTTTTTTTTTTTTTGTTGAAAAATTTAATATTTATTACTTTCTTCAAATCAGTGTCATTGCCGTGCAGATACGGTGAAAATCAATATGGACGTTTTTGTCAAAGTTTTTCAATCAGATCGGTATGATAATTGGATTGAAGGTAAAGATATTGGACCTGATCCAAAAGATCCAACAAATATCTGTGCTGCACCATCGCCATATTATCTTGAAAGTGAATATAGCAACAAAATGTAAGTTTTATTTGTCATTGTGAATATTATTATACATTAACTTCATTATAATCGAAAAAAAATTATAGAAAACCGAAACGGCAACCATCTTACAAACGACAATTAATACAACAAAATAAAAATACTCTGAATCAATTACTTGCAGAGGATTATTGTCCCGAAGACTTTGAATGTGAGGACAATGATGATTCACCTGATTATTGTTATTATAATTTAAATAATCGTAACGGTGGTGGTGAGAAAAATTTCAAATCACGAAGAAAAAAATCAAAATGCTCAACGAATAATGATAATAATAATAGCAACAGCCTCAATCCTAGCAATACGGTAAAGATGAATGGTTGTGATCTTAAAAATGGTGATGAAGATGATGATATAATCATAATTGAACCGAATAATGATAATGATAAGAAGAAAAATGGTCAGTTAGATAATTTTATTATTAAATGTTTATTATTGTTTTCATCAATTTGATTTCGTATTCAATAGGGCCAATGACAATTTCAACATTGAGTAAAATGAAAATGAAAAAGCCAATAACAACAACTTGATTACTTACGAAATGGACTACTTTCATTCGAATGAGGTTCGTATTATTTTTTCTGTTGTCATTAAAATTTCGTTAATTGTTGAATATTAGGCTATAACATCATTGGATCAGCTATCAAGACGTACCATTCAATACACTGATAATCCACAAGCATTTACAGATGAAATCAAATTAAATTATTTTGCATCATTAATCGATCCATTCTGTTCAATATGTACATTATTACGATTGTTTGAATATCCACATCATGATTTATCACGTATCAGTCTGAATCTTCGGCCTCCACTTCATAGTCGTATTTTGATACCAAAATTATTGTTCAATTCCAAAGTTAAACAGCAATCACCATCATCCTACTCATTAGATGTTAATGAACAAACAAATGTGATTAATAATGGCGCTCATGATCAACAATCAAGTTTAGTGACTTGTTCGTCATGCAAATTATGTGTTCATTTTTGTAAGTTGAATTTGAAATTTTCACAACTCTTTTGTATCTATCTAATATGTCTAATTTTGTTCTTTTGTTTTAGCTTGTTATGGCATCGAACAAATGCCAGATAATCCACGTGAATGGCAATGTGATCGTTGCATGTTGGCCGATTATGATGCTGCCTGTTGCCTTTGCCCATTACGTGGTGGTCCATTGAAAAAGACTACATGTAAACAATGGGCACATTTAACATGTTCATTGGTAATAACAAATGTTAAATTTGATAACCAAATTGTTTGGAATCCAATCGATATAAGTGCCGTACAACCGTTTCTCGAGAGTGATCGAACCGTATGTTTATTTTGTTTTTGTCAATTTTTCATCCCATCTAATTGAATGTGATATTCATAATTACTATAGACATGTTGTTTTTGTTCCCAAAAATCTAATGGTAATATTTCCAATTATATCATGGGTTTATGTGTTCAATGTACGAATGCACAATGTATGGAATATTTTCACATTACTTGTGCTCATCGTGAGGGCGTCCTATTTGAGCTAAACGATAATCTCACATCTTTTCGATTGATGTGCAAAAAATGTCAGATGAATAAATTTTATCGAAATCCATCCAATCATCTCCAACATCAACATAATGATCGCCGTGAAGAAAACATTGAATTAAATATGATGGTCATTGCTCGATATTCACCGAATTGTTATTCATATGCTCGAATTGTCGAATGTTTTGATGAGATGATGCATCATGTTCAATTCGTAGACAATACATTTGTTAACAATATTCATTCTGCTGACATTTTGGTAAGTTGGGTGAACTTGTAAAATTTAAAATTTCATTTTTTTTTCTAATTTCTCTTTAAATGTCATCAATTTCCTGGCAACATATTGAATCATAGAATCGTGATTGTGCAAAAGATCGTCCAATGATTGGCGATCCTGTCGAAGTGATCTGGAACAAGGAACAATTACATGGCAAATATGCCGGTTGTCATGTAACGAAAATGTATCGAATCGAATTCAATAATGGTCTACAAACATCATTTAAACGGGAAGATTTTTTTAGGCTTAATGATGATATACCGAAACGTGTTCAGGTTAGAATCACTGACAATCTTGATTAACCAAAATTGCCGAATTTGAAAAGAAACTTGTCAATTCTACTAGCTAAGATAATTAACTACACACACACACCAAATTTGTCTATCGACCTTTTTTTCGAATTCATTTTTTCAGTGAATATCATCATAATCTTATACCATTCATTTTAGGAATATTTATTTTATGTGTGTTTGTGCATTCGTATATTTTTTTGCAATTTATAATTTAAAAAAAACAAAAAAAAATTTTGCCTTTTCCTATAAAGATCATCATCATTATGTCAATATATTCATTTCTTAATTGCTGAATAAATTTTTTTTATGAAAAAAAAGAGTAAATCCCCAAATGACGGTCAATTCCATTCGGTTTAACAATGAAAATGGATTCACTAATGAAACATTCTATGGATTCATTCTGATAATTGCCATGCGTATTGATTCTTGTGTTGGTTTGTTTGTTTGTTTGTTTGGAGGTCGGTTGATCCATTCGAGGCATTATAACTTATCATCATATACGATGAGTGATTAGCAAAAGTCAAATTTGGTGATGAAAAAATGCTGTGCCTTCAATTGATAAGGCCCTATAAATGGTGGTCAGATTTGTTTTTTTCCAATCACCATGATCGATATAATCGTCAACGACAAAAATCGGACAAACAGACTATCAAACGTGGTCATTATCGTTATGGATTAAATCAAATGCCTGAATATCTTCGTTTTAATCAATGGATATTGACTGGCTATCGTTCACCAAATCTATCGACAATAGAATGTGTTCAATCTGTGTGCCTAATTCATAATGAAACGGTCAATATTATGACACATGTAATACCAATCGTATATATTGTATTCAATTATCATACCATGTTTGGCCCGCATCTATTCCGTTCATATCTAACATATTTTCATCTAATCAGCTGTCTATCATCATGGATCGGTTCATTGTGTTATCACATATTTATGAATCATCATTGTGGATCGAAAATTTATCGTCATCTACTTAAAGTAGACATGTTAGGCATTTGGATCACGCAAACATTCGGTGCATTGACTACTATTCAGGCTTCATTTATAATGTTTGATGAATCGATACGCTATCAATCGGTCATTATATATTTGATGATCAGCATATTTGCTCTATACAAAGGTCTAACAGCATCAAAAGCATGGCAACGACCAGCTAGTTTTGCATTACTTGTTACAATACGGGTAATATGTTTTATAGTTCGTATACAAACACATCAATACAATGTTAAGCACCCTCATCATTATCACAACCATCCAAGTCATTTTGTTAACGATAACAACACAAACAATCAAATATCATCAATAATAACGATCATATCAAAAAATCAACATGTAATTGGACAAGAAATATGGCCAATAATTGGTGCAATCATTGCTGTAACACGGATACCGGAAAGATTTTTTCCAGGAAAATTTGATTACTTCCTAAATAGCCATAATATAATGCATTGTTTGGTCGTATTGGGTGGTATTCATATGCATTGGTCATTTATTGATGATATCGAATTTTTCATCTAGAAAAAAAAATTATTACCACACATTCACACCACACACACACACACAAATTATCAATGATAATTTTTTATTTATATCCAAAAAATTGTATAAATAATTTTCATTTTTTGTTTTTGTTTTTACATTGTACTCGAATATTATTATTTTGTTGTTGTTGTAGTTTCAAAACAAAACAAAAATCAATGATTCAATTCATTAGTACTCTTGGTGTAATGTTTAATGTTGACCACCATTCATTTCATTTGGAGCAGAGCAGAGCAGAAAAAAAATAGGAATAGGGAGAAAAAACAATGTATTCAACATATAATCATTTGTAATCATAATAACAAAAAAAAAAGAAGATGAAAAAAAATGAATTCAAATTCATTACTCTCATTTGTAATCATAATAACAAAAAAAGAAAGATGAAAAAAGTTTCAAAACAAAACAAAAAAATCAATGATTCATCGATTATGGATTAACATTTTTTTTTTTTTTTTGTCATTAAATAAGAAATTGATTTGTTTAGAAAAAATTACAAAATTCATCAATAAAAAAGATAGAAAAATTTTTTGTTGTTGTTGTTGTCTCATCTAATTTGAAAATAAAAAATAATTCAATTCATTCATTCATTGTTTGTGTGTGTGTTTGTGTTTGTGTTTGATTGATCTTGATTTGATCCACATGGAAAAAAAAAAAAAGCCAGATTGAAAATTGATCACATCATCAAAAAAAAAAAAATATGCACACATGCAATGATCAGTCATCAGTTACAAAAAGAGAAAGAGAAAAATCTTTGAAACAAATAAAACCAAAAAATTGAAATTAAAGCAAAAAAAAAAGAGTTCAATCAATCAATTAATCAACAGTCATATATAGTGTGTGTGTTTGTGTGTGTGTGTATGCAAGTTTTTTTTTATCATGAGAAAAAAGAGAAAAACAAATTCACAGATTATTCACAGGATTCTTCATTGGATAATCACCAGAAATTATAATGGTCATTAAAATTTTTTTTTTAAATATTGAAAAAAGAGAAAAAAATATATGATCATGGTGGTTGACTTGAATTGATATATTTTAAAATCTACCTCGGATCAACATTGAGACATCATATTTGTTGTGTTTCAGCCACATTGTTGATTGTGTGCGTTGAATTCAATTAACAATTGTTTCTATAACACAAATGTGTGCAAATCAGATGAAAAAAAAATCAAATTGAAGATTTGAATCGATTGAATAATTGATTTGGATTGTGTGTTATCCGTCATATTCAGTGCGAATTACAACTACAACAACAACAACAAATCGAATCAGATTAATATAAAAAAAATTTGTAGCTTGATGATTTTTTTCCAAATTGACAGATATTTTGTTTCAGGTATAGATATGCTATATAGATTGAATGATTGTATTGAACATTACGTTGCAAAAATTCAAGTCAAATTAACAAAATTTTCAGTCACCATACTTTGTATTGTGTGTTTGTGTGTGTGTATTTATATTTTGAATAAGTTGTGAATTAGTTGATTGAGTGGCAATTACGTCAGTCAATGAATAAAAAAAATGAACCGAATGAATTTTACCAATGATTGGCCAATAAATGATTGATCAATACGGCAACAATCAATGAAATGATTGTAAATACAACAACTAATATAATGGCATATCCTTGATCGGCTGATAATATGACATTGGTTGGATTCAGTAACAAATCGGATGCCGATGCAATCAATTGTGATTTATTTGTATGATGTTTTTGATCATGATGCGTATTGATCAACTGATTTTGATGATAAACAAGTTGTTGTTGTTGCTGCTGTGATGATGGTGATGCGCATGTCATTGTTGATGAATGATTATGGTGATGATGTAATTGTTTACTATTATTTCGATTCCGATGGCGATTATTAAATGATGGTGTCGATTCCGGTGTTACAATGGTTAAACAATTTGATACTAACCAACAGGTTTCAGTTGATGTTCTTACACGGAATGTATACTCCTGTTGTGATTGTAGATGGGTAACTTTATAGCTTGTATTTGGACCTTGATGTACCATTTTTGTGCTAGTGGTGGTAGGGGACATTGTATTTGTAGCATCATCATTTGTTGATGATTGATTATGATTATTTGTCAATAACATATCGACTATATAATTGCGTTTAGTTTGCTGTTCAGTACCACCTTGTTGATATTGCTGTTCATTCGGATTGCTGAAATGCCATTTTAATCGAACCGATGTAGATGTTACATTCGAACATGTTAATGTTAGCGCTTCTTTTTTCGGCAACAAATGTTTAGGTGAACGAGATGGTGTGGAAACATTATCGCTTTTAGCTGTTTGATTTATATTTGATTGTTGTTGCTGCTGTTCCCAATCACAACGTTGATTAGTCATCGATGTTGATTCATCCGACTCGGATTCAGTCTTATCCGATTCACCATGTGTATCGGATGCTGAATCGACTATATTATGACTATGATGATTTTCTGATAATAATTTTGTTGCCATATTGTTGATACGACCGTTTGCTATAATCGATTTATTATCACTTGTTTGATGATGATGATTCGAGGATTTTGATTCAATACATTCTTCATCATTAGATGATGACTGCTGTTTATCTTTTGAATCATCGACCACTGCCATCATTTTAGATGTTTTTGCACTTTCAGATGATGGTGATGATAGTTTACCATTATCCGAAGGATCATGTAACAAAATATCACTATGATTATGATCATTATCATTATCATCATCATCCAATACGATGATTGGCTGTTGATTATTATTACTATTGGCCAATTTGCTTTCCTGTTGGCATTTCGTTTGTTCTTTCGATATCAAATCGTTGGCATTCTCATCGACAGCGGCCAATGTTTTTCGATTACTTTGCTGTTTAATAATTGGAACTTGGACATTTTGGTCACAGATATTTTTAGCAGTGTTGTTGTTCAACGAGCAACGTTCATCACTATTTTTTGCTGACGATATTGATTGATTCATCGATGTCAGATTGGCAGTTTTGTTTGATCCTGATGATGATAAAAGTGTCACTTTGGATCGACTATCTAGGCTAAATTTTTTACTTTGTTTCCGGATCGAATCACAATCGTTTGTACTTGATGATCTTGCTGAGACCTTTTCATCCATTGATTGCAATTGTTGTTGTTGTTGATCACTTTTTTGTTCGAAATGTTCAATACCACCATTATGACCTATTTCAAGATAGGAAATATTTGGTAAAACTTTAATTCCACCGGTATTATTATTTTTGCTAGTGTGGCCACTATCTTTATTCACTTCAGATAGTAATCGTCTTGGTGAATGAATGGAATTTGTTGTAGAATTTAGGGGTAATTTTTTTCTTGAAACAAAATGATGCGTCGGATGATGATAATGATCATTCTGTTGATAATGTTGCGAATGATTGTGATGATGATAATACTTATTTAAATTATGATGCTGTTGTTGTTGATTATTATGATGATTATGATAATAATTATTATTATCAATCGTTTGATCCAAGGTTGATGATGAAATATGGTTGTTATTGGAAGAGGAATAATCATTGGAATTGTATTTGTTATTATTGTTGGTCATATATTTTCCATTGTGGATAACAATTTCATTATTGTTATTGTTGTTGGCCGTCACAGGATGATGATAATGATGATCATAAATCGTCGATGACCGATCATATTGATACATTGCACTTCCACTTTGGTAACGATTATTATTATTATTATTATATTTGGACATCATTATGATGTTATCAGGTCCGGTAGCTGTTGTTGCCGTTGTTGATGCTGAGGCAGCAGCAGTAGCAGCAGCAGCAACAACAACAGTCGATGCTGATGATGATGATTTTGAATAACGGGAGTTCGATGATGATGATGATGAAGCGGATGATGATGATGATGTTGGTGCTATCGTTGCTGCCGTATTTGATGATGGTGGTGTTCGTCGATTATAATTACCATCTTTATTATGATGATGATTCGCTGTTCCAATATTATTATTATTGTTCGTCATAAAATAATTCACATTAGCCGATTGCGTTGATTGATTATTATTATTGTGGTTATAATTTGTCGTCGTTGTTGATGCCGATGTTGACGATGATGTGGATCTATGTTTATTTGGCGATGAAAAATTCCGATGTCCGGTTGTAGATGTAGTATTATTTGTCGATGATCGTTGTCCACCACCAGATCGACCACTTATCGTGGATGATCTTGAATTCATGACGGCTGCTACTGTTGGCGGTGGGCCATATGGTCCAACATTGCCAGCCATAGATGTGGCAGGTGAATGGCTTAAAGGTGGTGGTGGTACAGCAGGAAAAACGGCTACCGGTGGTGGTGGCCCTTGTGGAATTATTTGATTTGGACCCACAACAATGGCGGCAGCTGGTTGCGGTAAACCGGCCTGTGATGGTGATGTCACACATGTTTGTGTACAACAACAACAAAATGGATGTGGCTGTGGTGGTGTTTGCTGTTGATGATGAGATGCGGCTGCTACTGGATTTGATATGAATGCCGAAGTAGCAGATGCAGTATTCGATGCTGATGATGGTGTGGCTGTTCCAGCCGACGTACCACCATTGGAACCGCCACCACCATTATTTGCCGTTCCTGTTGCTGAAACGGCTGTTGTCAATGCAGACAATATGATATGCTTCAATGTTCCATGTTCATCTACGATTTGCTGTATCATATGACCAGGCGGAACCTTGAATCATAAATAAATTTAAATATTAAATAGCAATATATAATAAATGAATGAATAGAAAACATCAAGAAGAGTTGATCGTTTTAAATGAATAAATTAAAAATAATAATAATAATCATTGATGATGATGTATAATCGCATTAAACAAACCTGAACAGGCATTGGCATTGGTGGAAAGGCATGTTGAGAAATCATTTTGATTGTTGTTGGTCCACGTAACACTGTTTCGTTGCCATCGATGAACTGTATGGATACGGATTCACCTGTCGATTGAATAAGTGAAAAATGAAACAAATGTAATTAAATTGAAATTTTAAATTAAAACTTTGTAATAAAAAAAAATCCAATTTTATATGTTATCAGGCCGTGACAACTAAAAGTTTTTCTTTTTTTTTGTTTGGAACAATTTGATAGAACAGATATAAATCGCTCAGAAAATAAAGATACAAATCAATGGGCTAAGAGAAACGAACACTGACACAACTTGTCAATTCGCTTAAGTTTTTTGATTTTAATATTCTGCTTGAAATTTTTTTTCTATTATGGATAGATCGAGGTCGAACATGGCAGAAAATTTTTATTATCGGTTTTTGTTCAATGTTCACAACGAGGAAAAAAACAATGTCATAATACACTTACCTGGATTGACGTGTAAATCAACAAAATGTGGTGGACCAGGAAATGGATGATTGGCTGTGGCTGTAGCCGAATTCAACATCATTGTAAAATTGTCAATATATTAAATATATAATAGCGGCTATTTGATCAAAGTTTTTTTCTTTGTACTGTTTGGTAACAAATTGATTAAGCTGTAATTGTTTTCAATGTAAATTAATGTGTCATCAACGGAATGATTAAATAGTCGTTTTTAAAGACCAAAAAAATCTTGGATCATTGTTCGGGAATTTTCTGAAAACACAACATTAAACATAATCTCTCTCTCTCTTTATCTTTTTGGACGATGAAACAGAAGGATATGGACGTGATTTAGATGATTATAATCCACAATGATTATAATACATCATCATGTGATTTGCTGTGTATGTATGTGTGTGTGTGTGTGTTTGATGCCGATCAATCTATAGGATTATAATAATCGTCATCATCATAAAGAACTTTGAAGAAAAATTATTTTCCCATTGTTGCCAAGTCGTTGTTGTTGTTGTTGTTGTTATTGTTGAGTGTATAGACATTCATTTTTTTTTATTTGAAAAGTAAAACAACACACATAAGAATCAAACACAAGCAAAGATGATGATGTTGAGATTATTATTATTATTGAAAATAACAACGAAAAAAAAACGAAATGCAACACAAATAATAAAAAATTTGAAACAAACAAGAAAACAAGTTCTCTCTCTGTGTGTGTGTGTTTTTTGTGTATGGGACAAGACGATTCATTCAACAATTAAGGCCAAAAAAAATGAACAATATAGAAAAAACAAGCGGGAATCTTTACTTTTCTTGTTTGAATTTCAGATCATATCCCAGATATATTTTTTATATAATATAATTGAATATATAGGTAGATCATCAAGCACCATAAACGTATAATACACAAGGTGTCAACATATTTTACAGAAAGAACATAGAAATAGAGAACTTTAAATTTTACAGGTTAAACAGCTGTTGCACACATAACACGACATACAAAAAACCACTGGTGACCATCGATGTTGTTGTTGTTGTTGAATGGTCAATGGGCAATTGTCATGCACAGGAAAAAAATGAATGATTGAATAAAGAATGTTGTCCAGATTGAAAAATCAAGTCTTTTGTGAATGATGGGGCAACAATTTTTTTTTTTACATTTCTTTAAACGTTTGGAATGAGCCAAAATATTTTTATGATGTCTCTCTCTTTCTTTCTATCTATCTATCTACCTGTCTCTCTTGTTATTTGATGGCGATCTTGATTGGCCGAGTTTTTCTTCAGTTTCAGGCCTTTTGCTCTCTCATCTCAAGTCGTTGTTGTTCTTTGTCGAATTTTTTTTGTTTGTTGAGATATTTGAAATTTTTTCATCGTCGTCGTCGTTTTTGCTATCGTCAAAATGGTAAAAATATTAAAACATTTATTACGGCGTGTTGATTCGATTTTTCATATGTGGAATATGTTTGTCAAAACAAAAACAAAATTTCCACCTAAACACTGATAATGTATCACGAATTCATTAAAATGGTGATGATAATGATGATAGCGTGTAGGAGTAGTTATAGGTGTTTGGCAGCCTAAAAAATTCATGGAATTTTGTTTTCAAATGTCGATGATGATTGGATTTTTTTATGGAAAAAAATTGTTGATGAAAACCAATACTAAACATATGATTGATCAACAAATGATTGTCATTAATTAATTTGATGATTGAATTATACACACAATTCATTGGTAGATTGAAATCAACATCGAAAAAAACAAATTAGAATTGAAATTTCATGAAATCAAACAAAATATTATGATGATAATAATAACATAACATCAACAACAAAAAAACATTAAAAACGATCATGGAATAATGAATGACCAACACAAACTAAATTGAACCAAATTATTGAGTATGTTGATGGTGGTGATGATGATGATGGCCATCCAAATATCCAATATTTTTTTTCATAAAAGCAATGAAAAACATTGAATTGCTAAAAAATCAACAACAATAAAAACAAGCTAGGATTTGATGTTGCGTGTGTTATGTATATGGTTGTATCAAGCGGCCTCAAATCATATCATCATCATACACATAACAAACCAAATCAACCAACAACACTGACATGGCTACATTATCATATACAACATTCATATAACGAAAAATAGAAAATCCATGGAACTAGCTATACCACCATCACACATACTCCGGATACACACACACACACACACATACAATAAACACACTCTCAATGTTTCATTTTTGTTGTCGTATGTGTTGGAGCGGATTCGGGATACTGGTTGCTGGTTTTTTATTATTATTATTATGAATGGTTGAAATGATGATGATGATGATGTTGGCAATGGCAATATGATGGTGATGATGATGATGATGATGAATATACAGTTGTTGTTGTTGTTGTTGACGTGGCACCCTTACTAAAAGAAAGAAAAAAAAAATTGGTATCCGTCGTTACTTACAGTGAAAAAAATTGGTATAACGCGCGCGCTCTATCTTTTTTTTTCTCTCTCTCTCTTTCAATCCCGTAATATCAATTGAATGAGCCAGCTAGATCCTTCGATTGTTGATTGTCAAGTTAATGTGTGGATGTCAGATGTTTGCATATTTGGATGCAATATTTCATTTTGATACTTCACCTCCATATCATCATAACATCGTTAACATTATTCAATACTGCTATCTAATGATGAAGATATGATTTTATTTTCGTGTATGCTACTACAATTCGAAGGCACACACATACACACAAACAAACAAACACAAACGAACACAAACACGGAACGAATAGTTCTTCCACGTCTCGTTTTTTTTCTCGTCATGGATCCTTTTATATTGTAGTTGTTTCAATGAATTTTATTTATTCGAAAAAAAAAATTTTATTTTCTGGCTCGTCGTATTAATCGAATGCCACCGCCTTATTATTATCCGTTATTTTTATCATTTTGATCCAGAATTCTTCGGATGTGTTGTATAGCACACACAAATACACACACACACAGCAATGAATCACTGAACCACTTATGTTTTTGATGACGTCGAAAAGGTGGTTTTAATCAATCAAATATGTTGATGCTAATACGAATCTGGATAGTTGTAGACAAAATTTGGACACCCTTCCCACCACCCCCTTCATCAAAATAAAATAAAGAAATAAGGGAGTTGACGTGAATACTATGTTCGATGAATTACGTCATCAGAAAAACAAAAACACTAAAGGCTTTTGTATGTATGTGTGTGATCAGAATTTTTCATTGATGGAACTTTGCGAATTACGTAGGCGTTTTATGTTTGTTTGTTTGTTCGTGTGTGTGTATACGCACGTTCCATCATTATGGAACGAAAATTGTGATTCTCGTATTCTCTATAAATGTCAAAGTGTACTATACACTCACACACACACACATCAAAGAAATATCGTAAATTTTCATTCAGAAAAATTTTTTTCTGTCCCGTCGCGATCGTTTTTTTTATTTATTTAGTTATTGAATATGTCAACCTACCGGTCGGTCCTGGGCTACCATTTCCGTTGATTTTTTTTCCATGGAATTTTTTTTTTATTATTATTATTCAACACAATCAATATGGTACATTTCCTGATTAGTTTGACAGTTTGTTTATTATTCGATTTGACATTTAAATTTTATTTTATTTTATTTTAATTCTACTTTCCAATTATCATCATATTTTATTGTATTTTATATTGTATATCTGTGACATGCAAAAATAATTGTTGAAAAAAATACTGTTAATGTCGACATGATCCATTTGTGATTTTGTACGGTGTTTTTGATGATGATGATGATAATAACCAAAGTTGACAATAATTCAATATGACACATTCAAATAACGATTCAAATGTCGAATAGTTAAACTTTAAAAAAAAGTTTGGTTCTAAATGGAAAATGGTTCACTTTTATAAAACTAAAATAAAAAAAAGACTTGTCTGAAAATTCTTGTCATTTTCATTTCTGTCAGCGTGGCGCGCCCTCTATTATCTGGGAATGAAATTAATAAACAACAATTTTTTTGGTTGCAAAAAAATGAAATTTTTTTTTTATTACATTTTTCAATAGTCAAAAATGTTTTTCATGTGTGTTTGTTTGTGTGTATGAATTGTTGGTATTAAAATTTATTAAATTGTTTCTTCGAGCTAGCCGATTTAGTCACTTTTAGCACATTGAAACGAACCGTTTTACTTAATGGCCTACATTCACCAACGGTAACAACATCGCCCAATGCAACATCTCTGTAAAATGATTGTAGAAAAAAAAAATAAAATTAGTGAATGAATTAAATTCAATGTTTTGTTTAAATATTTTATAGTAGTAAGAGATCAGTAAATAAATAACACGATTCCTCATGTATTTTTGTTCAGTAGACCGTCGTGTATTATCATCATTCGATTTTTTTTTGTATTTCAATTTAAACTTGAATTATTTCCAATATGAAAAAAAACATAACAAACCTAAAACATGGTGAAAGATGAACAGACATGTTACGATGACGTTTTTCGAAACGATTATATTTCCGAATATAATGAAGAAAATCACGACGGATGACAATCGTACGTTGCATCTTCATTTTGATGACCACACCACGAAGAATACGGCCACGGATAGAAACATCACCAGTAAATGGACATTTCTTGTCAATGTAATTTCCTTCGATGGCCTATTATTTTGGATAGAAAAAAATGAAAAAAGATTAGATAAATTTCAAATTGAAAAAAATAAAATTTACTTACATCTTTGGGCGTACGGAAACCAAGACCAACTTTACGGACATAACGTTGAACTTTGCGATAACGACTACGACCACCAGTTGGTGGTTTTTTGTTCAGAAAAACAGTCGGTTGCTTTTGAAAAGCTTTTTCATTCTATAAATTTTCAACAATTATTTTATGGATTTTACATAAATTTTTATCCACAAACATTACCTGTTCACCAACCAATTGTTGGGTTTTCATGTTGGTTAAAGTTTTTAAGAATTTTTAAAAAAATTTCGAAAAAAAAAAAAAAAAAAAAACAATTCAACGTTGAAGCGAAAATGATGAACAGAACACACGTTGACGGGAAAAAGGAAGTTTTTTGGCTTGCTTGTTTTTTGTGTGAAAAAAAAACAGAGTGCTCGAGAACGAGTGTGAGCATGTTAATTGCAATTCATAAACAACGTTTCCAATGATTTAAAATTCAATAGATGGCGCCATAATGATTATTCGGGTTATTCGTAAACATCTTGACCGTCATTTCATCACATGTGATTTGAATATTATTTTGTTATTTGTTATATCATCGAAATTTTATTGTTAACCAGAAAAAAATGTCCAATAATCAACAATCATCAAAAATGAAAAACGAACCACCGATTGATGAATTACAGCAAACCTTCATACGTAAAGCACAAATGATGCAACAACAAAAACTAGGCAAAGTGAATGCTATTCGAATGCGAAATCGTTTATCCGGTGCATTTATGGCTGCCGTTGTTGGTTCTATTTGTAAGCATGATTTATTTTGGTAATTGACGAAATCAAAATAATTTTTCATTCCAGATTTATATACGATAATGACCGTAAAACAGGAAAAATTTCTCGATGAACTTGAGGAACCGACCGATAATGTTAAAAAATAATTCAACAAGAAATTCGATTCGACCTGTATAATTTCCTTAATAATTAGCTTTGTTTATTTGTAACTTTTTCAAAGAAAAAAATCAATAATGTATAAAAAAACGACATTTTTTTACATTCGAAATATTCCAAAATTCGTTTCAGGAATCGGTGCATTTAATGCTGCGCTTAAACTTAGACCCAATACTTTTCTTGATTCGGCTGGATCAATGACGCCATCATCCCATAAACGAGCGCTTGCATAATATGGATGGCCTTCACGTTCGAATTTTTCCAAAATTGGTTGTTTAATTTTTGTCTCTTCTGTTTCGGTCAATTCTTTACCTTCGCGGTGTTTACGATCTTTTGCTATTGTAGCCAAAACATTGGCAGCCTGTTCACCACCCATGACCGAAATACGAGCATTTGGCCACATGTATAAAAATCTGGGTGAATAAGCCCGGCCACACATTCCATAATTTCCGGCACCATATGAACCACCGACAATCATGGTCAATTTTGGTACCTGAGCACAGGCAACTGCCGTCACCAGTTTTGCTCCATTTTTAGCTATACCACCACGTTCAGCATCACCACCGATCATGAAACCGGTAATGTTTTGTAGAAAAATTAATGGAATTTTTCGTCTTGCACAAAGCTGTATAAAATGTGCACCTTTCAATGATGATTCAGAAAAGAGAATACCATTGTTGGCAACAATACCGACAGGATATCCATATAGGTGACCGAAACCGGTTACTAATGTTTCACCATAACGTAGTTTAAATTCATCGAAACGACTACCATCTAGAATTCGAGCAATCACTTCTTTGACGTTGAATGGTTGTTTTAGATTCGAACCAACAATTCCGTAAAGATCTTCGATCGGATATAATGGTTCATCCACATTGGGCAATACATCCATTTCGAGTAACAATTTCTTGCGATTCAAATTTGATACAATCTTTCGAGCCATATGCAATGCTTCAAATTCATTTTCAGCATAATAATCACTAACTCCTGAAATGGATGTATGAACTTCAGCACCGCCTAGATCCTGTGCAGAAATCTCTTCACCAGTAGCTGCTTTGACTAATGGTGGTCCAGCAAGAAAAATTGTACCATGTTCTTTAACGATGATACTTTCATCGGACATGGCTGGTATGTATGCACCACCAGCCGTACAGCTACCCATAACAATCGAAATCTGTGGTATATTTTTTGCAGACATATTTGCCTGATTATAGAATAATCGACCAAAATGAGTTTTATCGGGAAAAACTTCCGACTGATGTGGAAGATTTGCACCACCCGAATCGACCAGATAGATACAAGGTAGATTATTTTCCAGTGCAATTTCTTGTGCACGTTGATGTTTTTTCACTGTTAGTGGATAATATGTACCAGCTTTGACAGTAGCATCATTGGCTATGATTAGACATTCTTGGCCACAAATTCGACCAATACCAGTGATAATACCAGCCGCATTAATCTCTTCACTATAACATTCATGAGCGGCTAAAGTAGAGAATTCAAGAAAACTGGAATTCACGTCCAATAATTTACCGATACGATCACGGACTAAAAGTTTTCCTTTTTTCATATGATTCGTTCTTGATCGTTCATCACCACCTAATGATGTGTGTTGAATTTTCTCTCTTAAATCCTGAACCAATGTTCGCATTTCAGCATCTCTTTTCTTTATTGTAATAAATAAAATCGGTCAATAAAAATCATCATCAATTTGTTTATTTGGCTTACTTTAAATTCATCTGAATTTGGATCCACATTTGTCTGTATGATCGGTAAATGATCGGTGAAAAAATTAGCTCGAAACAATGATTGACGAAATAAAATTCGGCTATTTTTCCATTGCAACAGATATCGTCCAAGAATAACAGCCATTTAGTGTTTTCCAAACCAAAGATCCGATCAGCATCAAAGAAAATAAAAGTATTTTTCGTCTTTTTAATTTCTTTCTATTGCTTCAAAGACGAATGACATCATCTTTGAATTGATAAATTCAACTGATAGCCTTGTTTCAGTCTAATAAACATTGACTCTAATCATCAATTTTGTATATGATTATGATATGTAGCTCTCCAACGTGGTGTTGTTGATGATGATGATGATGATGATGAAATGAGACCTGTTTTACGTTGTGCTACTGCTGTCGTTTTCCATCGTGATAAAATCATTCGATATTTGTTTTAGTTTATAGAATAAATTATAATTATTAACATCATTGATGGCTTTGAAAAATATCGGATTCGATTGAATGAATGGTACGGATATCAATTCCAATAGGTTAGGATTCCAAATATTATTCGATAACAATACGCGAATATGAGAATCTTTGTTGACTGAACATTTATTGTATTCATTCAGGATACAATAAATTTCAGAATAGCGTGTAGAATAGAATAAATAGGATTGGAAAAATCTTGACAAAATAAACACAAGCGATACAGAAAGACGTGAAAATAATGCACGACATCGAAATATAAGGCTATCACCATTGGAAAAATTTAGCCGACAAAATTGATCATATAGATGATGACACATTTCATAATCATTTGAATCGATTGAACAGGTGAATGGTAATAAATCGATAAAATGCCATTCACATTTTCTTTGTAGTGACAATGATGGTTCGTCGAAATTGGCAATGACTAGTTGAGAATTGGAAAATTTCAGATATTTTCCATATTTTCGTAAAATTTCATTAATGTTAATATCAATTTCGTAATGTGATTCTTGATGAACAAATGATCGCAAAGGTTCGAATGATTTGAGTAGAAAAATACAAACATAACGAGAATTATTCAACATTGTATATGGAGTACCATAAATTGGTTCGATTGGTGGAAATGTTATATATGAAAATTTCGAATCTTTCATAACATGATGCCATTCGATTGGTTGATCGTCTATCTTTTTCGATTTGCATATAATTTTACAAAGTTCTCGTACATCTTCAGGACGAATTTCGCTACGAAATAGATGAAATTCTTTTAATTTTTTAATGAATACTGGCAAATGAAATTGTTTCGAATAGGCCGATGGATAAGCAAGTTGATTAGATTCGGTTATGGGAAATAAATGAAATTCATTGATAAATTTATCTGCTAGACGATATTTTAAATTTTCAACTTCATTCTCATCTTTTTCTGTCATTGTTTCGAACAGATGGATATTACGATTTATGGATTTAATTTGTCTGGTCGTCAAGTTGGATGTAAGATTATAAATTTGGTCGATAAAATTTTCTGGTATTGATTGTCGATTAATGATAAGATTGATGTTGTTATCCAATTTATTCGCCCATTGATCAAATAGATTTGCCGTTGAAAACGTTGACATATTACATAGATTTCGGAGTTTCCTTTTTTACTTGCTACAGGCTTATAACAGCAGACATTGCCAAAACAATTCGATAACAAATACAACAATGAAATTGTTTGACAATCAAAAAACGTGAAAAATTTCACGACTAGATTACCGCCCTGACGAAGATGTTGTAATGAGATTTTTATCTCAGCTTTGATCAATGGAAAAACTGATTCTTCTTGTCGATCAAAACGATCAAAACAATCAAAAGCACCGTCACCGGTGGCTAAATCAAAGGTTCCATCATTCATATTTTGATCTGAATGAAAACGATTTTTTAAGTGATTGGCCAATGAATCCATGTAAGTACTTTCAAAGATATCACCTTTATTCGATTGAGCAAAAAACCAATTTCGAAAACAATTTGGTTCACGGATAAAAATATCGTTCCAGATACAACTTCGAATATCGATTTGTTCATAGTATGGATTCAGCGTATTGGCAATCCATTCAAAGTTTAGTTCTGGTACTCTACTTTTGATAAAATGATTGGTAGCATTAACAAAAGCTCCAGGTGCTTCACAGAGGAATAACACACGAATATTGGAATCAGAATTGATCAAATTAAAGGTACAAAGTATATCGTAAAATTTGATCCAAGCTCGAGTCAAAATTGGTGGAATATTTGGCCTAAAACGTCGAATGATGCGATGTTTGATGCCTGATGAAATCTCGGTAAAATCGGTATGCCGATTCCAATCAAGAGAAGCATATTGTCCGATTTGTTTTTTGCAAGAATTCAATTGTTGACGAAGATTTTGTAGATAATCAATTTGCCATTCTTCATCAACTAAATAAGATTGAAGATCGGAATAGCAGCCATGAAATCGTCGACAGCTAGCTGATTGTTGGCAATCACATTTTATAGTATATTTGAACGAATATTTTTGTAAATCGGACATTTTCGGACGGAAATAAACTTGTTGATGATGATCAAGGATTGGAGATTTATATTCATCAAACTATAAACGATTTTATTTTTCCAGTAACGGCATCTATGAACGGCGTAAGAGGTGTTTGAGAATCGAGAGAGAGAGAGAGAGAGAGAAAAAAAAAATATTGAAAAGCCACACATCATCCAAATCTAATAGTGACATCATTTTATTTATTATCCGATTGTAGATGGAATATGGATAAAATATTGATTGTATGAACTGCAGACGATAAAAATATTTCTCGGCAAAGAATCGATATTTTTATCAACTATAAACTATTTCCAAATTCGTATGTGAAAAAGGAATATATGAAAAAGAAATGGGTTCCAATTTGAGTTCATTGAAAACCATCAAACAAAATGAATACCTCACCAAATTAATATCAAACGAACACATTAGTCCGAATGATAATAAATTCTGGAATGAATTTCTTTCATTTGCTTTCACCAATCTGGATGCAATATGGTATGTAGTCCTTGAAATAAAGTTGTTAAATTGAATTTATTATTGATTCACGAACATAGTTCGGACAGTAATTTTATGAATGAAAATATCATTCCATTGATGTCAAAATGGTTGGAGAATAATGCAGTTTCCCAGAATCTTGGCTCTGTCATTCAGGTGTTCATACAGAAGGTTGGCATTCTTAAGAAGGATGTACAGAATAATGCAAAGTAAGATTTTTGATAAAACAATCAAAACATCATGTTAATCATGTATTATTTTAGCTATAATGTTGTCGTTTGGCATGCCTATAATCTTTCGTTTATCATGCGAAACATGTTCAAATACATGATCGAAACATTTGTCGAAGATAATATGATTAAACAATGCAAACTTTGTTCGCCCAACGGATTTAAAGTAGAAAATCAACAACAACAACAACAAGATGAGAATAACGGTACAATTATGATTGAAAATTTGATCAATGCCTTGATGGAAATTCTGGTTGATCTGAAACTTGAGTAAGTATAGTTTTATATCAGAAACATTCAAATCCATTCAACGGCTTTTATTTAGCGACATGAATTATAATCTTCATGTGGAATCATGTAAAAATTTTCTCGTGTTGCTATCTGTTCAAATGTTTTTATCACGGCCATCGATTAAATCAGTCATTTATACTATTGTGATGCAAAGAAAATGTTCCATACATGCCTTATTGTTGACCAAAACATTATTGCAAAATTTCATACATCAAATGCCTGCACCTGTTCCGCCCACCGGTAGTATTATATTTGGTCTAGCCACCGGATTCTGGAATGTAATAACATTAGGTTATGGTAGTAAAAAAACCGATGAAGAACTTATTAAAGAAGCAATTCTAGCTCGAGAATCGCTTCTATTATTATTGGTATTAACAAATCATTGTACAAAAGATATTAATCCATATCGTGAAGCATTGTTTCAATGTTGCGATTCAAGTATTGAGCTTCAATCGACGACAACAAGTGAACAAAATGTCACCGGTTTCAAGATAGAATTTGGTAAACTGTACCGAACACTTTGTACAACATTGAATGATGATCAGACAACATTATTGTTGTACATGTTATTACATCAAAATAGTCATTTCAAAACATTCGTATTAAGTCGTACGACTGATTTGGATCAATTTTTGATTCCTGTATTACGCATACTTTACAATTCACCCGATCGTAATTCACATCATATTTATATGTCGTTAATCATTTTATTGGTGTTGAGCGAAGATAATTTATTCAATTCAATCATTCATGATATTGTAAGTTTGTGATTGTTGTTTTTTTTGTGTAAAAAATCAATTTTTTCCATCCTTATTTAGATTGTTCGAAACATAACCTGGTATACGGAACGAAATTTGACCGAAATTTCATTGGGCGGTCTAATCATTTTGGTCATAGTTCGAACCATACATTTCAACATGTCTCGTAGTCGGGTAATTATCGATCACCATCATTATCAATCAATTTCTAATTATTGATTTTAAAATTCAATATAATAGGATCGTTTTCTTCATACGAATCTATGTGCAACATTGGCCAACATGTCGAATCATTTCAAACATTTGCACAATTTTGTTTGCCAAAAATTGGTTGTTTTGTTTGAAAAGATTTCGAAAAAATATTTCAAGCTTCAGCAACAGAAAATTCAAAACGGTGTTGACAATGATCATCATAGTAGTGGCAGTAGTGGTGAGAACAAGACGACTACAATAGTTAAATCGGATGGTGATGCCGGTGAATCATCGTTGGCTGATGATCTTAAAGATATTACCTTGTTCGAAGAGGTATTACGAACCATTCTGGAGATTATTAATGCTTCGTTGACAAAAAATATGGTGGCCAATCCGAATCTAATCTATACATTATTATATAACCGGAAAAAATTTGAACCATTTTTAAATCAGACAATATTTCAGGATATTATGGGCAATATTGATACAATATTATCATATTTTTCACAGAGAATCGATTCAACATTACAGGATCGACAATTATCGGTTGAGGAAATTTTCGAACTAATCAAACAGGCATCATTGAATTGGCCAAAAGAAAAGATGAAAAAATTTCCTGAATTAATGTTTCGTTATGTTGAGGATGATTCACCGGGTAAGTGTAGATTATTTATTGATCTGATTTAATTTTTGTCTGTTTTTTTTCTTACAGAGGATTTTTTCATTCCATACATCTGGTCATTAGTATATCGCTGTTCGAATATTTATTGGAATGCACAGAATATATTGCTATTCAACCCGGTTCGCAATCTATGAAGATAACCTTTAAATTTTAATACTAAATAACCATCTCGAGTAATCATTTCTTTCGACTTTAAATTCCAAACTTTTCATTGCGAAAAAAAATCACTTTTTATATTTTTTCAAATGGCGAAAAAAATTACACGTTTTTTTCGTAAGGATTATTGATAATTTATAAGTTTTAATAACGATGATGATGATTTATTTAAAAAAACAAATTGAAAATAAAAATGGAAATGTCAGACTTTATGAAATTTTTTTTTTCGTTCTTGTAGTTTTAAATGTTGTAAATTTTCAATTCTGATAGATACGATTTCGTTTTCTTCGATTACAGATCTGCAAATCACGAGTTAGAAATACAGCTGCAATGACCATCAATATGGCCCATATAGCACATGCAATATAATATGGACGTTTAATGGAATTGGCTAATGTGGCAGCAAAATTTATGACTGCCAATATGGTGAATACCAATGTGAATGTAAAACTTTCACGTACAGCACCGATAATACCGAGTATAGAGAATGAGATGGAAAATATCGATATCATCAATAAAGTTATGATGACCGTCAACTGTATTGATAATATTGAAATTTATTAGTATTAATAACAACAAACCACCAAAACATTTTTAGCTCACCTTAACTTCTTCAATACGATAATCACGATCAATCTCATAATCATATAGATAACGATTGGCCAATAAATTCGAAATGGATGCATAGATGATCATAAGGATGATGTTCAATGCACATAAAATGATTACTGACCATTTTTTAATGGAAAACAAGAATGGTTTCGATATTTCACCGTCCATTTTCAAATAATGTTTAATTGATTCATCAACCAGTTGGAAAAAAATGACTTTTTGTAATTGAAATACACCAATTATAATGATGATGATGATGATGATAGACAAACAAACAAACAACAAATTGTTGTTGTGATTATACCTTGATTCCGGTTGTTGACAAAATGATTTCTCACTTTCTCTCTCTTTCTCTTTACTATAAATGTGTCAAAAATGCCGCCATATCTATATCTGATAAAAAAAAATCGTTGTTTTTTTTCTTGGATACCGAATCGTGGATACAATATTTCCGATCATCAAAAGGCATCGTTGTTTAGCAAATTTTATTGTCTTTTTTCTTCTCACCATATTTTTTTGCATCTACTCCATGAATGTGTAACTCATAAAATGGAAGCAAACTATTGCCACATGACCAAAAAAAGTAAAAAAAAAATTTGGGTCTTCCATCATCATCATCATCATCATTATCATCATCAAATTTATTTTCATCGTACATTTGCATAATGTTTCAAAATGAAAAAAAAATAATAAAGAAGAAGTGAAAAATGTTGTAGAAAAACCAAAGTCATCACCATTGATCATTCAAATTAAAAAAAAATTGAGCAAACAAAAAAAAAAGAACCAAGTGAAAGAGAAAGTGTTTAATTTGCACTCATCATTCAAGTTGACTCATGGAATTCACAAACACACACAAGAATCGGTTTCATTTATCCAACAATGTGGCAGTATAGTATGAATGCCGATGGCATCATTTGATAATTAAAAATTTTAATATTAATTATTTGTTTAAGCTTTCGTTTTTCGAATGCTGAATTAATAATAATAATAATAATAATAAAATTGTCGGTTGTAGTTCCCGAAGGAAAAATACTACATTTTTGGTGGGTGAAAAAAAAGTCCCTGGGTCTGGGGAGAACGAACAAACGAATGAAGAAAATCATAATTTTTTTCACTTTATAAAACATAAAGTTTCAATATATAAAAAAGTAAACCAGTTACTATATTTGAAATGAACAATATAAATGTCTTGAAGCTATGTTATTATTCGTTTGTTTGAAATTGGTTGGTTTATTTAACACTGAAAACATTGCGATATAGAACAAAAAAAAATTTGTCACGTTTAAAATACAATCTAAAAATGACACACATGAAAATCGATGGACAAATGAGAGCAGTTCAAGGCAATTTTTTTCACAACATTTAGTCGATTTAGTGAAAATGATGATTGTTTTGTGTTGTTTATCGGAAAACAACAATCGAATTGAATAAACAAGGTTGAATGAAATTCCAAGAACTCAGTGTGTGATTGTCATCATCATCATCATCATCATCATCATTAACTTTAATTTGTTAATTGAAAATTAACAAACAAACAAAAAAAAATAAGGGATTCTACAACAAAACACACACACACACAGATTAATAATTATAACCGGAATAACACATTATAATAACGATTGTTACGATGATGATGAGAAAAAAGCCCCATCCCTCAACTACACAAGCCCTTGATGGTCTTCAGGATCCATAATCATCATCATTCCGTTCAATCAATTTCGTTCATCATCATTATTATCATTATGATTGTTGTTGTTGTTGTTGTTGTCGTCGTTATTATTGAAATCCAAAATGAAAAAAACAACAAATTTCCATAATTAAAATTGTTTATAATTAAAATTACGATGATTGAAGAAAAAAAATGTGCAACATTATTACAAATAATGTAATGTTTCCAGTGTAATCATCATCATCACCACCGTCGGTCGTTTCGTCGTGATAGTGATGATGATGATGAGCCAGCCATGCAGCCAATAGGCAGCAAGATAAGCAAGCCCAATGGATTGGGATGCAAAATTATTGAGCGAAAAAAAAAAAAAAAAAAAATTGGATGAAATGAAACGACGAAATGATGAAAAAAAACATGTTAATTACGAAAAAAAAAATCATCGCGTGTCTTTGTATTCAAAGGGAAATTAGTAATTTTTTTTTCACAGCCTTTCTCTGGTACCAGACCATCATCATCATCATTTGGATAAAATGATAATTTTCCCTTTTTCATTTCGAATGGTTTCGAACATGGAGATGAATTTTGGTCTAAAAAAATCTATAATTTTTCGGAACTTTTTACCCCCACCAATAAACAATATCATCGGATTTGAATGTTTAACCAGGAACTATGAACAACAACACCGGATATGATGCGAAATTTTCATTGAAAAAAATTTTTTTTCTATTGATGCAACATATCATCATGTTATCAGCACAGAGAGAGAAAAAAAACCGCAGACAAACATTTTTTTTTTACTTTTCAAATCATTATTATTCGACAATTCCAACATTGATTCTCGAATGATTGTCATGCATGATTGCCTTTAATCATCATCATCATCATCGTCGGCAAAGATTCGTTCATTGAGCAAGAACAATGAATGAATGAAAAAGTTTTAATTCATTTTTTTTTGGAAATTTGAACCTTTCTAATTTCTTTTTCCAACAGTTTCATTCATTCACTCACCACAAGGTATATATAATGGTGTTCCAGGATCGAATGATTCATTTCATCATTGTCGAACAAGTGGAGCGAATGGTTGAAATGAAATGAAAAAAAAATTAAATTTGAAACACTTCATCGCGGAAGGAATTGAGAAATGAAGAAAAAAAAATATGAAAATGAATGAAAGAATTCAGTCTATCACACACACACACACACACACATCAAGTCGTCATCATCATCATCATTTGGTTACCCCCATGTCCCAACCCCATCGGGTTTCATCACCGAAAATGAACGGAAAACAAAATGAAAATGAATTCTACATTTTTTTTTTTGCATACATTATCGGTACATGTGCATGCAGTAAATTTTTTTTTCCTTTTCGTAATTAAAAACGATTATTCTAATTAAGCTTGAAATTTTAATGTTAATGAAAATGACTATGCCCATGTTTTTTTTCCCTGTATTTTTGTGAAATGAACGAAATGCCAGTGAAAATGAATGAAAAAAAAACGAAATTTCATTTTTTTCTCGCTCTCTTTCTGGATCTCGACTTACCCTCTCGAGTACATGCACATGCATTTTATGGCTCATGTATATGATTTTATGACTCTTCTTCATCATCATCATCATCATCATCATCATGATGACGTTGGACGAATAGTTCCAGTACCCGATGATGTGCCATTGAAGATCTTTTTCCATTTTTGACTCTGGCTTTAGAATTTTTTTCTCCTATGGATGATCATGTTGACAGTGGTGGTGGTGGTGGTGGTAGAGGTTGTAAAAATGAGATGAAAAATTCTTTGAGACAAATAAAAACTATCAAAATGAATTAATGAAAAAAAAAAGAAAATTGAGGGCCTCGAGAAAATTTATGCAAATTATCATCACCACCACCAAAAACCAAATTCAAAACACACACACACACACGGGCAACCTAGCAGCGGTGTTGGTGTTTGACAGAATCAAAAAAAAAAGAAAAAAAAAAAAAATTCACTCAACGGATGGAAAAAACGAAATTAGATTACAATTTTTCTTCATTTGAAAACACATTGTGTTGGCCGAAAAAAAAATAAAGTAAAGTAAAAATTGGAAAAAAAATTTTTCTCTTTCTGTCATTACAATGAAATGAAATAGTCAAATATAAATTTCAAGTGTTGGTGTTATACTGAATGCAAAAAAAAAATATTTAGGTCACACTCACACATAATGGCAAACCGGCAGGGAAGAAATGAATTTACCGAGTATTCTCGAAATTCATCGAAGACAAGACGATGAGAAAAAAAAAAATTCGAAATTGAAAAAAATGGAAATGAAGAAATTGAAACCGAAATCGCAACACACACACACACGCTGACAGTGAAAGAGAATATTATTGTGGCGAAAGAAAAGGGAAAAAATGAATTTGAAAAAAAAAATGAAGATCAGTTTTCGATTTCGAGAATTTTTTTTTTTTTTGCTGAAAATGAAATACAAATTTTTTTTTTCACCACTTTTCTAGGTAGTAGAATAATTGTGTTCGTGTGTTGCAGAGAGAGAGAGAAAGAGAGAAAAACTGAATGGGTTGAAGCAAAATTAATCTTAATTTACATAAATTTAATTAAACTTTTTTTTTGTCTCCTGTATCGTCATTGTCATTGTGGTCGTGTATTTTTATTTTTATTTTTTTTTTCATTCAGTAAAAAAACATCCATTCATTCAGAGAGAGAGAGAAATGGAATGAAAAAAAGTGATTCGTTTTTTTTTTGTTTCATGAACATGGATGCTGATGATAGCAAATCTATGCATTTATGGTATACATTTCATTCATCCATTCATTCATTTGAATCGAATGAAAAATGGTAAAGTAATGAAGAATTATCAGTTGAAATTTTTTTTTCACTTTACTTCAAAATTATCAAAATGAATATTTCAAAATTCTATATATATGTAAATCGTATATGGGACATACACAGCAGCAAAAATTTTTTTCTTTTAACTACAAAACAAAACATGAATTTTTTTTTCGTTATCTATGCGATGGTGCTATTTATTTGTCATATTTTTGTTTCATTATTTGTCATTTGAATGAAAAACTGTGATAACTCCTTTTGGCACTGAGAAAAAAAACGAATATGGATCAGCAATTCCTGTACAAATGAAATGGTCGAGCAATGTTTGTTTCCGGTTTGAATGCAAAAAAAATTTATCTCTAACCACTGGTTATCCCAAAACGAATGTTAAAATTTTTCTGTGGCTGCAGCAAAACAACAACAACAATAAAATGATTAATTACAATTGAAACCGGAAAACAAATGTGTATAAATAAATGATTTGAATATCTATACATTTAACACTTTGAATACGAGAAAAAACAACAAATGAATAGTGAACCGATTTTGGCGATTATATACGATAATGGCCGAATTTTCATCAAACGGATCTTGTTGAAAAATGAAAGTTTACGCTTTTTTGGACATACACATGCAAAAAACAAAAATGAAACCATCATGAACGGAATCCAAAAAACAAAAGGATGCAGCAGAATCAAAAGCGCGTGAATAATTTCGCAACATCAGCTGTGTGTCCATCCATCGGATGTGTATGCGGAAAATGGGAGAAAAAAAATCCCAAATTTCAGATTTATGATTTTTTTTTCATTTAAAATTTCTTTGACAAGTGAATAAAAAAAACGAACAAACAAATAAAAAAAAGTTTCATTTTGATCAAAAAACAAACAAACAAACAAACTTTTTTTTTGCCGTGATAATTGCCAGTTGTCACACAACATTGACTTTTTTCACGAACACACAACACACAACAATAGTTTGGTACCCGAAAACAAAACAAAAAACGACCGAGTGTATAATTAATTTATCATCACTGAATTTTTCTTTCCGTTCATCGTTTGAATAGATGCAAAAAAAAAGAATAAAACTTTTCAATTTCAAATA